CTACAAAGATATGGCAAATGCTAAATATTGGTAAATGCAGATGAAGAGTGTAAATGTTCATCTAACTTTTCTATAGTGTTGGACATTTTCAAAATAGAAAGTGGAAAAGAATGAAATCAACATGTGATGAAGTGCATGGCTGTGTCAGTTGGGATTGCTGGGAAGCCGGTTCACTGCTGTTGAGGTGTTAAAAGTAGCTGTTGATTGAGCCTTCATTGCATTTGGCATAGTGATCATCCTCTCGGGGCTCACATGCGGTGCAGGTCATCTTCAGGAAGCCTGATGAAACCTCCCCAGCTCCGAGTGAGTGTGTACGTGCAAAGTAGAAATGATAAGATTGAGAAAGCAGAGGACTTTCTGTGCCACTCATCTGGAAGGTTCTTCCTAACATGCCCTCAGGGAAGTCGGACCTCACTGCATCCAGACAGTGGCCCCTCCAGTCACCGACCTCATTCTTCCTGGGATTGCAGGCCACTCCACCAGGCACGTCAGCAGTGCACATGCTACATTTAGAACAATCTGTGGCCTGTCTGGGTGTCTGCTCAGTGCCCACGTGTCAGCTGGTAGAAGAGAGCTCCCTCATGAAATGGTTGACTATACAGATTGGAGTGTGACTGTTTCCTGAGGGAACCAGCTAAGGTTTTCTGCCCCCACTGACCTTGGTTCTCAATGCCAATGTCAGGAGAGGTTTTACTCCCCTCTGTGGTCCCTAGCAAGGGCCTCAGTGCTCTGTCTCACATGCCCTAGATTTGTGGAAACAGCCTGTGTGGCGGATGCTTAGATAGCATCCTTATCTATGTACTAGAGGCCCAGTGCATGAAATTCGTGCACGGGTAGGGTCCCTAGGCCTGGCTGACGATCAGGGCTGACTTGTGGGGCGACTGGCGGGGTGATCGGGTCCCCGCTTGCACCTGCCTTGGCATGGCACCACCTGCTCGCCGGCCCTGCCCCCTGCCGCCACTGCCAGTCACCTCCCTCTGCGGGGTAACCGGTGGGGTGATCGTGAGGTCCCCACTTGCATCCGTCTTGGCTGGCCTGGCGCCACCTGCTCCGGCCTTGCCGCTGCCATGGGTCGGGGCTTGCGGGCTGGGGGAAGCTCCTGCATTGAGTGTCTGCCCCCTGGTGGTCAGTGCACGTCATAGTGACCAGTCATTTCGTAGTTCAGTCGATTTGCATATTAGGGTTTTATATAAATAGATGTAAAAGCCTAAGCGATCGAACAACTGAACGACTGGTCACTATGAAATGCACTGACCACCAGGGGGCAGATGCTCAATGCAGGAGCTGCTCCCTGGTGGTAAGCACCACTCAGCTGACCGACAGGTGCCAGATGCAGGGCTTACGGCTGGCAAGTGCCGCTGTAGCAGCGTGAGCCTCTCCCAATCGGGACTGACTGGGTGTGAGCCTTCAGCCAGCGCAGCGGGGCCGGGATGAGCAGGAGTGGCAGGCAGCATTGGACTGCCGATTTCGGCCTAATCCACACAGGCCACGCCGAGGGACCCCACTGGTGCACGAATTCGTGCACTGGCCCTCTAGTTTAAAATATGATCTTCCATTTATAGAGGTGATGTGGTAGCATGCCTGGGTTCAAGGCCATCTTGTCGGTTTCCTGTCTTCTAAATTCCCCCATTGATGCCCCTGCCTGGTGGTGCTTCACCCCATGTCTGCTCACTCCCTGTGATGTAACCTCCCCGCTCTCATACGATCTTAGTTTGCATTACAGCTGGGAGTCCTTCCTGGTGCTGAGCCAAATGGAATCATTCCTCTTGTAACAGCCACAGGCATGGAGATTCTGGGGCCAAAGAGATTGTGTCTAATGTCTCTTCTTTGCCTCTCAGGAGCCTGAAGCCCCCAGCTCATCCCTGCTGAGACATCCTTGCTCCAAGACCCAGGTGATCGTTGGGTGACAAGGTGACAAGTCCTCGCATCATATTCCAGGTATATTCTGCCCATCAGCACCCCGGCAGGATGGTCGTCACTTATGTGCTAGAATATATTAACTTAGACCTTTGGTAGGTTGTTGACTTTTTAAGTAAACTGACAACTAAAACCCTCTGTTGTTGTTCTTTTAAAATTTATAGCTTCTGTGCTTTTTCAGGATCACCTAGTACTTCCATCTCATCAGAAAACAGGTTTGCCTTTTCACAGTGGTGGGTTTCTTAAATTCCTACATTTCTTTCGAACAGAACTCTTTTTTTAAAGAGATTTTTAAAAATTGATATTTTTCTTTAGAGAGGAAGGTACGGGGGAGAGCAACATCAATGATGAGAGAGAAGCATCGATCAGCTGCCTCCTGCATGCCCCCTTCCTAGGTTGGAGCCCAAAACCTGGGCATGTGCCCTGACCGGGAATTGAACTGTGACTTCCTGGTTCATGGACTGATGCTCAACCACTGAGCAACACTGGCCGGGTCCAACATAATTTTTTTTTTTTTTAAATATATTTTATTGATTTTTTTATAGAGCGGAAGGGAGAGGGATAGGGAGTTAGAAACATCGATGAGAGAGAAACATCGATCAGCTGCCTCCTGCACACTCCTTACTGGGGATGTGCCCGCAACCAAGATACATGCCCTTGACTGGAATCGAACCCGGGACCCTTGAGTCCGCAGGCCGACGCTCTATCCACTGAGCCAAACCGGTCAGGGCAACAACATAATTCCTAATACCTACAGATGGTAAGGCCTTCTGCACAAAGGCCTCGTCCACAGGATGTGCTCCTGGTGCGGACGGCGAGTGCCATGTGGTCCGCAGCATGTGGAGGCGCCTATGCTCCGTGGCTGCTGGCTGCTCCCTGACGGTGTGCACAGTGTGCCAGTGACACAGTGGGCTGTGTTTCTGCCTTTGACCCTGGAGGACTTTGCATTTCTCAAGGTAGTGGCAGGCTCCAGTTTCTTTCCTACTCCTAAACTCTTACTCTTGCTCCTACTTCTCTCCCTCTTCTATTTTTCACTCTTTTACTTAAGAATTCTTTTGCAGCATGTTCTGGGATTTAGGTGCCATCAAGATCTGCTATAGATAGTGTGTTTTATGCAGGTTCTTGCGTTCCTAGAGTCCTGAGGGGGCATTGGAGCCAGGAGGTGGTGGTGGGGTTTGGGCAGGTCAAGGCTAGCTAGTGGGTCTTGGCGTACTATTTCTCTTTAGAGTAGCTCCTGTTTTATCTGACTCTTGCATTTGGTTTTGGCATAGGATGTAGTGAGGGGGAAAAGTTTTTCTATTAAGATGTTTGAAAGCCTAGCTGGTTTTGCTCAGTGGATAGAGCATCGGCCTACAGACCGAAGGATCACGGGTTCAATTCTGGTCAAGGGCATGCATTTCAGTTGCAGGCTCCTCCCTGGCCTGGGCCCTGGTCGGGCTGGTGCAGATGTGTTTCTCTCACATCAATGTTCCTCTCTGTCTTTCCCTTTTTTTTCTACTTTCCCTAAAAATCAATGGAAAAATATCCTCAAGTGAGGTTGAAAAAAATAATTTAAAAAATACTTGAAAGTTTTTTTTCTTTTCAGTTATTCTTTGATTAAGAAAAACTATTTACCACAGGGACTTCATCATTATCACTGTTTTATTTACCACAAAAAAAATGGAGGTTGTTTTCAGGTGTGTGTGTGTATATAAAGAATGTCACCTGACTTACCCTGCTCTCACATTCTTACATTCCTTAGGAGCCATTCTGAGCCTTCCTCCCGAGTGTTTTGCTATATTAAGAATGCTCACGTAATCAGGGATCAGCAGCCCACACTGTCTTTCATCAGAGGAACTTTGTGGGGGATCTAGCCAGTGCCCTTTGCCACGCATCAGCATCTCCGAGCAGCTGCCTGCAGTAGAAGGAAGGAGGAGGGCATCCCACAGCTCCTAGTTCCTGGGGGTTTTCCGCTATAAGTAAGCACCTTATTTTTGAGGCTGTTGCACCTTGTAAATGTCAGAAGCAAAGGTGCAGAGTTACCAGGTGAAGCAGGGGCCTGCTCACACCCCCATGTCCTCCCTGGGCAGCAGGAGTCCAGCTGCCTCGGGAGAAATGTGATGTGGGAGCCTGGACTCTTTAAAAGCCCCCCGGGCTCTACATCTGTCTGAGCCCAAGCAGCGAGGGGCACCTTCACTCACCTCACACCTGTGCTGGACACAGCCAGTGTTTAAGGAAATGAAACCCACAGTCCTATCCCTGGAAGCAGTGTCAGGGCGGGAGGCACAGCATTTTAGAAAAACATTATATGTCTTTATAACTGAGGCTTCTGACCAGATGCAGAGATGTCCCCAGGTGGATTTTCAGACTTTATGACTCTGTCCTCACTTCATGAAATGGACTGTTTTCCCCCATGAAAGTAGTAGCCTCTGCGACAGACAGTTAAACCTTCTCCTGGTCCTGCACTCCTTCCACGGAGCCCCATCACCCTTCAGCCTCCCCGCCCTGACACTGCTTCCGGACATAGGACTGTGGGTTTCATTTCCTTAAACACTGGCTGTGTCAAGCACAGGTGTGAGGTGAGTGAATGTGCCCCTCGCTGCTTGGGCTCAGACAGATGTAGAGCCCGGGGGGCTTTTAAAGAGTCCAGGCTCCCACATCACATTTCTCCCGAGACAGATGGACTCCTGCTGCCCAGGGAGGACATGGGGGTGTGAGCAGGCCCCTGCTTCAACTCTAAACCGGACCATTTTTTTGTAGTTTTAGTCTCCCCTCCTGACCCCACACTTTTGGTTAGTTCTGTCATGTGAGTTCCCCGTACTCCGTAGCTTCTGCCCGCACACGGTTCCTCCTATGAACTGAAAGAGCTGTGGGTGCTCAGAGAGCAAATGGTGCAGTCAGCTTCTGGCTGGCCCCGGGTGTGCGCTCAGGTCAGGCTCAGGCAGGAGGGCCTAGTGTTCTGATTGGGGAACTCTGAGACTGAAGACATTGTAGCCATAAGTCATAAGGGACCTGGTTGCTGTCCGTGTTGCGACTAGAGGGGGTGAAAGGAGTGTCAGTGATGACACGCCCTGCTCTTTCTCTTTGCAGATTTGATCAGCAGAATGGGATGCAAGGTGCTCTTCAGCCTTGGTCAGCAGATGCTGAGGCGGAAGGTGGTGGACTGCAGCCGCGAGGACAGCCGGCTGTCCCGCTGCCTGAACACCTTTGACCTGGTGGCGCTGGGGGTGGGCAGCACGCTGGGGGCTGGCGTATACGTCCTGGCCGGCGCTGTGGCCCGTGAGAACTCTGGCCCTGCCATTGTCATCTCCTTCCTGATCGCGGCGCTGGCCTCCGTGCTGGCTGGCCTTTGTTACGGCGAGTTTGGTGCTCGTGTCCCCAAGACCGGCTCGGCATATCTCTACAGCTACGTCACTGTTGGGGAGCTCTGGGCCTTCATCACAGGGTGGAACCTCATCCTCTCCTACATCATCGGTGAGTCGTCCACTTCTGTCGTTCCCACTTCCCTACTTTGCTCCAAATAGACGAAGTTTAGTTTCTTCCGAGGAGAACCTCCTTGCCTGACCATTATCCATCTTCCTTTTTCCTTCTTCCTTTTACGGAAGGCAGAGGCACCACTGGCCCTCCAGCTGCTCTTGGTGTTCATGGTCGGGTGTGCTGGGGTGTAGAGGGGACAAGCCCAGCCAGCAAGGAGGTCGTTCCTGTTAACATGGAAGGCATAGAACCGTGGGATGTTTCTAATTAGTTAAAAAGGATTTAGTCTCTTTTAGTGAAATTTTTTTTGACTACTAGAGTAAAGTCATCATGGACATAGGAAGATGGGGGGATATAGAAAAGCATGAAGAAGAAAGTAGAAATTACCCTATCTGAGAACTGGGAGGTAGTAATTCTCTCATTCATTCATTCTCTCAACAAATATTTATTGAGCACTTGTTCTGTGCACGGCATTTTGCTAGATATTAGGGATGCAATGAAGAAAATAAGACCGTCTCTGTTCATGAGAATTTACTGTTTAGGGATTTGACCATTGTTCATATTTTTGTGAATTAAATGCGTATTTTTGGCACAGTATCTCTCTTTCTGCATAGAACAATAGATAGTAAACATGCCTCACAGTGTTAACTGTTTTTCCATAGTAACATTCCTCATGGTTGTATACCATTGTATTGAAACAAACACCTGAATAAAAGAATAACCAAAGGATTTGCATGGCCAGTTCACAGCAGCAGAAATGCAAATAGCCATTAAACATTCCACTTATATTTTATCAGGCTTTTTTGTAATATTATCAAAAGACAGTAAGATGTGGTAAGCTGAGCCTGTGAGTACTGGGAATATCATGCGCGGTACTGTGTGTGGCCTCTGTGTGGGCGCCACTGCCACACACCCAGGCTGCCTTCCCTTTCAGCCCTGCACTGTCTGCTCAGAACCAACCTGGCTTACTCCTCCAACTTCCAAAATAAATTTCATAACAATGAAACTTGTAAGTGCAAACACTCACACAAGCTGAGGTCTCTCGGTGGGAATGCAACAATTTTAGATGGGCTGTTGTGTTTCCAGAAGATTTACCAGGGCATGACACAGGAGAGCGTGAGGCCTGATAGTCCTAGAGTACTGATGATGCTTCTTTGCCAGAGCGCCATTGGCCTGTGTGGGGTCATGCATGTGTCATGTGCCACTGCAGGAACTTCTCACCCTTAGCTGCTGGGGAGGGCATGTTTTCCAGCCAACATGGGGTTTTAAAGCCCTGACTCAGAGCGGGGGGTGGGGGAGGCCAGGCAGCCCCTCTCAGCCAGCAGGGTGGGGTTCGGGGGCCCCATCAGCAGTGAGCTGGCCTCTGGGGGAGATGGGAGACCATGTGTCTTCACTGGGTTGTGGCCTTGATGGACAGATTTCATAATAGGCGAGCTGCTCAGCACAAAGAAATGTGGTTTAATTTTTGAGTTGTTGGGAAAATACTTATCATGAAACCAAATAGCAAAATTGAGTCTGCAGGTCACCCTGGCAAGCAAACTCCTGAGGGTGATCCAGACCGCAATCACCAGCAAAACCCCCTTTGAGAAAGTAAAGGAAAATGCTATGTGTGACTATTGGAATTTTAGCGATATTTCCTGAGGAACAGCACTAGGAAAGCAGGGACTTTATTCAGATTGAGAGAGAGGGAGAAGGAGAGCGCACAGTCAGCTGTAGTTGGCATTGGGAGTGCTGCCTCCATTTGCATTCCACATGGCGGGGGTGCAGGGAGAGAACTTTGTCTGCCAGCAGGTGCTTGGGGACCTGTGGCTGTGAGCCCAGGGTCAGGCACAGAGTGGCAGAGGTGAGTCAGCCGCGTGTGATGCCCTGGTCTCCTCTCGCTGGGAGAGCAGTGTTCACCAGGAGAGCCTTGGAAAAGGAGCTTCCAAGCAAGGTGCACACTGCTCACTGCGGCCTGGGAGTACCTTGAGCCATCAGTTACATGGCTTGCCATTGGTGTTTCTTTTTTTATGAAATAAAATAGGTAGAATTGAATAAACACTCTCTGAGTGCCTCTCAGGTAGCAAGGGGTAACATTGTTTTGTAAATTCTTTACTAATAATTTGGTTATATGTATGTTGAGGGTAACATGTTCTATAAACTTTTATTAATCATGTAGTTATATATTTGAAACACATGTATACATGTGTGTTAGGCAGGGGCAGAAAATACATTTTTTCCCCCCAGGCCCTAGAAGCTTCCTTGAACTTTTCATTTCACTGTGAACACTGGTTGACCCTCTTCTGAGTGTGCATGCTGAGGTCTGCCTGCTGCAGAGTCCCCATGCACCATCTGAGACCCCGCACGGCTGCTGTAAATGTCCAGCTTAATGACAAATACTTTGTTAATTGCTTTCTTTCACGTTCCTCTGATATGTGTTGTTTTGTGACAGGTACTTCAAGTGTGGCAAGAGCCTGGAGTGCAACGTTTGATGAGCTGATTGGCAAACCCATTGGGGAGTTCTCCCGGACTCACATGTCTCTGAACGCCCCTGGAGTGCTGGCCACAAACCCAGACATCTTTGCTGTGATCATAATTCTCATCTTAACAGGTACACCCACACAGTGAGAGGGCCATCAGGTTGAGGCAGGGGTCCAAGAAGTCAGGTTCCTACTGGGGGTCTCTAGAAAGACCAGGTTTTCTTCTTTTTCTCTTTCTCCCCTCTACCCCTATTTTCTTTCTGTAATTAATACAGACATCTTTTTTTGTCTTAATGGCTTATGATACATTCACAGTAGGGCTGGCTTATTTAATAGCTGCCGAGTTGTGTGTCATTTAGCTAACAGAGAACCTCAGGTGTTTATGTGACTATTGAGTAACATTTTTTTAGTACTTCAGGCTTTTTGTGCAAGTGACTCAGGAATTCACTGTTGATCCCGTGATGACCATTTGGGAAGGAAAGTTGGTGTTCATCAGCCAGGTTGAGGTACAGGGATGAGGTCTGTATGGAACACTAACAGGCGTCTGGAGTGTCAGAGACGTCTCAGTTGGTTTTACACCTATTGGTGGTCAAAACACCCTTTAAGCAAATAAGTTTTATGACAAAGTTATGGATACAGAATTTAAAAATGCCTGATAGTGCTTGCCCACAGCTGATAGCAGCCTCTTCTTACATGTATCTGTGTTTCAGCCACTCGGTGGGGGTTTTGCTGACATAAACATTAAGTTGATGAAATGCAGATAAATTCTCTTTTGTGGTTAGAAAACCTTGCATGGCTTTTAAAAACAACCCATCTAATTTTGCCCACTATGTAATTGAAATCATTTTGCACAGGCCAGACTCAGCAGTATTTCTGGTCCAGTGGTAGGAACATGTATCAGAAATTAAGTTTTCACTACTCAGATTTTCATAAACACGAGAGGGAGGGACACAAAAGGAAAGATACAGCAGAGTGTGGTGTCTTCCCTGTGATGAATCACTCTATTCTCTTCTAATGTCTGCATTTCAGAATTCAGTCTGTTATGTGAGCCTCTTTTATTATAGAATTAGAGGCCCAGTACAAGAAATTTGTGCACTCGGGGTGTGGGAGGGGGTCCCTCAGCCTGGCCTGCACCCTCTCGCAGTCCTGGAGCCCTTGGGGGATGTCCAACTGACGGTCAGTCGGACATCCTTAGTGCTGCCGCGGAGGCGGGAGAGGCTCCTGCCACCGCTGCTACGCTTGCCAGCTGTGAGCCCGGCTTCTGGCTGAGCTGCGCTCCCCCTGTGGGAGCACACTGACCACCAGGGGGCAGCTCCTGCATTGAGTGTCTGCCCCCTGGTGGTCAGTGTGCATCATAGCGACTGGTCTTTCTGCAGTTTGGTCAATTTGCATGTTAGCCTTTTATTATATAGGTTGTATAAAAGACACAATGCAGAGCAGCGATCTCAAATCATAAATTGTGTTGTGTGTTCACTGGGTACTTTTTCCTGCCTCTTTTCTTGCTGACAGTTTGCACAGAACTCACCAGGTGGCATCTTTACCCCAAGGTGGTCCTGCGTTGTCATGTGGTTTCTGGGCATTTTTATCACCTGGTGTGTTTTTTAATGTGAGTTACGAGCTAGAACTAGTCTGGCCTAGTGCTTACGGGGTGGCAGTTCCACAACCACAGACACTGTCATTGCTGATGTTGCTAACACCCACACGGCAATCTGAATAATTTCCGATCTGAAAAACTCATTCTACTAAGAAACTGAGCAAAGTGTCTCCTTGGAGAAACTAAAATCCTTCTCCTGAGGGTGGTTCTCATAAAATACTTTAATGAGGGGGAGGGTGCAGGGAGAGGCGCTCATTTCATCTCCTAGGGGGCTTGATGCCCCATCTCTGCAGCCCTGGTGCCCCCTGGATGGCGTCCTCATAGCATTGTTAAACGTCTTGATCACTGCCTCTAGAAAGATCACGAATTCAGCCCCATCCCCAGAGGCTCACAGAAGTCTTTAGAATTTGATGCCATGTGAGTTCTTGTTAAGTCATCGCCCTCATTCCCGTCCCCATCCCAGGAAGGATTTGCCTGGTATGAGGTTAATGCTCCATGTTTCCTGTGTATGCACATTTTCAGGACTTTTAACTGTTGGTGTGAAAGAGTCAGCTATGGTCAACAAAGTATTCACTTGTGTCAACGTTCTGGTCCTGGGCTTCATCGTGGTGTCAGGCTTTGTGAAAGGATCGCTTAAAAACTGGCAGTTCACGGAGGAGTATTTGCACAACAACTCTGGTCTCCTGTGCTCCAACAAGTGAGTTGCTCCCTCTGCCCGTCCCTCGGCATGTGGCAGTTGGTGTGCCTGGGGGATGGAACTGGCTAGAACCATATGAGTCTTTTTTTAGTAATGTGATTTGAATTTGAACATTTTATTAATTTTTTTTGTAGTGACATAGCTGAGGGTGTTTTATTGGTTTAAAATAAATTTTATTCCCCTCAACTAGACAGAACATGGTATGACAAGGACGCTTATGGTGAAACCAGAGTTTTCATTCTAATTCCATCATGCACACAGTTGAGGATCACTGTCAGACTCACTAAGTAATCCCTTTTTTCTCTTATTCTGTTTCATGACCTTCTTCTGAGTTTTGTGATCAGAAAAGATTTTCTCTGCAATACCATGGTGATACCACTTTATTTCAAAATGTTTAATAACCCAGAAAAAGAAATATGTGGAACTTTTATCAAAGTTTTTCAGAATTACTAAAGTATCAAACTGTGATTCTAATGATCTCTTTCTCCCACACTTGACTTGGATTGTATCAGCCCTGAAAAGCTGTGGCCCCATCCCCCTGACCTATCTCTGGCTCAGGGCACTCAGGGCTAGAGGCAGGTGATAGGCGGGTTTACAAAAGCTAAATAATCATAATGTATCTTTTTTAAAAATTTTTTATTTTACTGATTTTTTACAGAGAGGAAGGGAGAGGGATAGAGAGTTAGAAACATTGATGAGAGAGAAGCATCGATCATCCCCTACTGGGGATGTGCCCACAACCAAGGTACATTGCCCTTGACCGGAATCGAACCTGAGACCCTTCAGTCTGCAGGCCGAGGCTCTATCCACTGAGCCAAACTGGTTAGGGCCATAATGTATCTTTTTTGTCAGATTTTCAGGTGAAACTTAGGGTCCTGGGATGGAGAACAGGGAGTGTGATTTTGCCCATGAGTCTATTTTAATTACTGCTAAAGGTTAAACTGCTCAGATAGAGATTCTTCTAAACTGTGGTAGCTTTAAAATGATGTCTCACGTCCCGGAATGAGCAGTTTAGTTGGCCGGCCAGAGAGGCTATATATAGGCTTTCAGGGACCCAGGTCGTGGCTCACCTCATTGTTCTGTCATCTCTGAGGATGCTGTCCTTACCTACCTGGCTGGAGCTGGGCTGTGGGTGCTGGCATCATCCAGCTGTCCCAGAAAGGGAGCAAGTGTGGAGCAGAGTGTTCCCAGTGCTTTTAAGGACAGATCCCGGAGACACACGCTTCTTTTGCCCCCATTCCCCTGCAGAATCCAGTAGCCAGTCACATGTAGCTGCAAGGGAGGCTGAGGCACTGGGAGTCTGAGTGGTCACATGCCAACTTGGTTGCTGGTTGTTAAGGGCCAGGTGCCCAGTTGCCTGATTAATGGGCAGGCATTGATGTGTGACTAGTTCATGACCAGACACCAATAGGAAACTATTGACTTAAGTGCATGAAACTTCACTAACTCTAATATTATATGGTTAATACTTCAAATAAAAAGAGCCTTTTAGTCTTTGGAGACTAAATCCTATTACAGAGAAATGAGGACTTTTAATACATATACCCAAACATTCCTGAGTCACATTTATGCCAAATTTCTTGGTGCCCATTCACTTATGGAGGAGTAAAGCCAAATCAAAAATCTTTGAAGAAACAGTCAACTTTGAAAACCTTGGGTGCTGTCTTACTGGTTGCTGTTTACAGGTCAGGAATTAAATGTTTCCTAGTTGTCAGTCAAGATTTAATTTTACGGTTTTTATGAAGAGGTTGTCCATGCCAGCTGACGGTGTGTGCTTTCATCAGTCATCCTCACCCCGAATGTCCTAGCAACAGTGAACTCTGCTGGTCTCCCAAGTGGCGTCACCTCATTGTCCTGTGTGAGACCCCTTCAGCTACATCTGCCTCCAGCCCTGGGACACGCCATGGAGGGCAGCGAGTCAGCCACTTTAAGAGGTGGAGTGCAGTAGGACAGGGACATGGCTTCTTTGTTTATTTTATTAAAATCTGTAAGATTTTTCCTTTTTCTTTTTTTAACCAGCTCTAGATCTGTATTTTTGACAATGGCCACACAGTCTTTCATGAAATAGTTTGTCTCTCTGAAGTTCTAAGGCATTACCCAAAAAAACCATATAACATGGAGGGGCTTCATCACGTGTGGGTTAGGGGGCAGTTCCCACCACACCCTGCTGCGATCGTAGGAGTCCGCTCCCCAGGGTGTCCCATTCTTTGTGATTCACAGAGCCCATGGGAGCGGCTGCGGTGTGGACTGTGGACCACACTTTGCTGACGTACCTGTCCTGGGCTGCCTTTTTTGTGTCGGGGTTGGTGGTTCATTTCAGTAAATGACAAGCTTCCGTTTCAGTCTGGTAACCATTTTCCCCACATCTATCACTTGTGCATTTCTTGGGGTTTCCCCCAGGTTGCTACTGAACCACTGTAAGTCCCACAATTAGGGTCTTCATGCTTCACATCCAGTGGCTCCATGGCAGCTTCTGGAACTGAGAAATGTAATTATCCCAGAGGAATCAGTAAAAGGTTAATCCTCATTGGAAAGTAATTGGATCCAAATTATCTGTTTATTTCATTAGCTCATTGATAAATCAAACTGAAAGCAACTTTGCCGAAATGAGTTGCTAACTCAACCTCAGTGCATCACTGCTTATAGAGTTGGAATATTCTTTCATTCCTGTTCTCATGTTGGGAGGCAAAGTGGTCTGGGAGGAGGGGCGGTGGGGAGGTATGACCGCCCTCGCCCTGGGGGCTCTGTGGGAAGTGACAAGAAGCCTGCAGCCGAGTGGAAAATGTGGCCACAGGGGAGGGCTGGAGCTGCACTTCTCAGACAGAAGGAGCGGGGCTGCTCTTCAGGGAGCTGAGGCTCACGAGTAGCTGGTGAGAGGCAGGGCCTGTGGTAGACTGATGCCAGAGAGTGCCGCCCAGGCGAGACCCGGCAAGGGCTGAGCCCCACTCTTCAAGCTTAGACGTAGTGTTTACTTTAGAGTCACAGGGTTTGATCCTTTGGGACTGTTTTCTGGATCTTTAAGGACTTTGGGGTTCACAAAATGTGCTTGACTTTGAGTTCATTACTTCAGCAAACAACTGATCCCTGCCCATGAGCCCAGCTGTGCTAGGCACCAGCCTCCACCTGAAGCATCCCAGCTGCTCACTGTGTGTGCCTGGGTGCTTAGGAAGCATTGTTTTGTTGTCTGAAACTGAGCAGTTTTCAAACCTCAGTGTCTTTGGAAATGCTTGTTTTGAGACCTGAGTTACTGGCAAATATGGAGACTTTTACAGTTCGTTCCTACATCTGGGCCCCTGCACTGTCCAGCTCCATTTCTTTCTCCAGGATTCTGGGGGAGAGGCTGCATTTGTTGGTCTCTCCTCTTTCCTGAGGATACCCTGTCACAGTCCCTATGTTCCATCCCCACCCCACGTCTATATTTAGAAGAGGCTTCTGGGAAGGGCATAGTGTGCACCATTGTGGTCAGGGCCACACCCAGTGGAGGCCTGTTGTCCACAGAGTCGGACGCAGTGGCTGGCGACAACTGCCAGGGGTCATGGCCTGAGGGTCTGGAGCAGTGGTCATAAGTCAGGTAGTGGCTGTTTACAATGGCTTGTCTTTGGGACCATGAAGCTAGTGTTGTGATCTTTGCTGTGACTCGTTGTTTTCCTAGTGAGACGAAAGAAGGGAATCCCGGTATCGGTGGGTTCATGCCCTTCGGGTTCTCCGGTGTCCTGTCAGGAGCAGCCACCTGCTTCTATGCCTTCGTGGGCTTTGACTGCATCGCCACCACAGGTATGCCCGAGCGCTGTCGGGAGCCCATGCCCCGCCCTCTAGCTCTCCAGACAGGCCAGCCTCATTTTACCCACGGGTCACTATTTTCCTTCCTGTGGGTTTGTGCCAGTCACCAAGCTTCCACACCTGACTAATGTGTAGATTGCAGCTTCCTGCTGATCTTTCCTACCCTTATCACTTCCCCAAGTCCCAGGTCACAGTTCCTGGCAGGAAACTGCATCCTGAACGTGACTAACCCTTCTACTAGAATGGGATAATGACAGACAGGGCTATAGCCTGACTTCATATCTGTGCATCATCCGGGAGAAGCGAAGCCATTAAAAATATTGTCATCCTGGCGAATTGAATAGTCTAGGCTCCATTGGACCTCCCAAATCTCTCTGCCAAAGGAAACAAGTCTTTTCCTTGGCGGAACCATGATGTAAAGGCCGAGAACACCATCTAGGGCGTAGGGGTCATCTGGTCTGTGTTGCAGAGGGCTACCCTGTGTTTCCAGAGCCCAGGGAAGCATTTGTGGTGGCACAGACTCCCTGGACACTGACAGGCCTGGGGCCTCATGGTTTGTGGTTGTCCCTCCTGGCTGCTTCTAGGTGAAGAAGTCAAGAACCCCCAGAAGGCCATCCCCGTGGGCATCGTCGCCTCCCTCCTGATCTGCTTCATCGCCTATTTTGGGGTATCGGCTGCCCTCACACTCATGATGCCATACTTCTGCCTGGACAAGGATAGCCCCCTGCCTGAGGCCTTCAAGCACGTGGGCTGGGATAGCGCCAAGTATGCGGTGGCCATTGGCTCCCTCTGTGCTTTGTCTACGAGGTGAGGATTCTCAGGTTCTTGGGTTGATGTCAGGTGTGGTGGGCCAGGTAAAGCTGGACACGCAGGTCTGCTATTAAAGTTACTCTTTTCCCTGGAAATGGAGCCAGTGCCCCAACCCTGATTCTCTGGCTTTTCCTTGTTGCTATTAATCACCTAAGAGTTATTCGTGTTACTGATCTCCTTGAAGAACCCGAGGCCCACTTTTTTACATCATCTGCTCAGCAAGGGACTGTCTTTCTGTCCCCAACTTTGGCCACTGGACCAGGCCAGCTCTTTGAACACTGCATTTTGGCCTCAGTTTGGCCATAATGTGGAGGTAACCTTGAAAAAGGGAGAGTGCCTTTTAATGAGAGGCATGTTGCCCCTGGTATGTCCTGTTAGCCCACATGAACAGTTACTATTTGTAAATGTCGATTTACCATAGAGATGTCCTCATGAATGCTGGGGTGCTTTTATTTTCTGTTTGAGTCAGCTGGAAATAACTGTAGGAATAAATGTAAAATTTGACTTCCAGAAAAACGACTAGTTTGTGCTGGTTTGTTAGGCTTTTCCTATTCTTAGACTTATACATACTCAGAGTAGTGCTTTTTCCAGGGCTGGTATATGGAATTCTGAGGTTATATAGCTTGGTGGCGGCAGTCCTGGCGAGAGTCCAGGGCTCCTACTCCTCAGGTCAACTGGGCCTGGTCAGATCCTGGTGCCTTGGTTCCTGGGAAGCTCCTCTAACTGATGCCTTTTCTTCCATCTAGCCTTTTAGGTTCCATGTTTCCCATGCCTCGAGTTATCTATGCCATGGCTGAAGATGGACTGCTATTTAAATTTTTGGCCAAAATCAACAATAGGACCAAAACACCAGTAATCGCCACGTTAACCTCAGGAGCCATCGCTGGTAAGACCTGGAACTAATTTCACACACTAATATTTCAACAGTTAAGTCATTGTTGTTCCCTAGGGAAACATCCTCAATTGTACTGCGGTCTGTGAGAAATTTTAACTTTTGTTTTCTAGCCTTAGGCCTGGTTTATGGCAAGGTAACTAACTGCCCTTCCAGCACAAGGCAGGGCGAGTGCTCCAGGGGATGCGATGGAGTTCCCACTAAGTTTGAATTCTTCTGTTATTATTATGCTCTCACTGCCCGAGCTTAGGATAATGGTCCCTCAAAGCCACTAGTCTTCTCCTTTTCTGAGTGTCCCTGAGTCGATTTTGGTAAGATGACATCTTGCATTTACAAGCCAAGTGAGAGTTTGTGTTATTACTAGAAATTTAGTGTCCTTGTATCTTAGCCTGTGAATTCCCTGGGAAATGAGGATCCCTTATGATTGGTATTGTATAAAATGTACCACTTTGCCCTGGCCGGGGTGGCTCAGTTGGTTGGAGCTATGTCCCATGCACCAAGGGGTTGCGGGTTCAATTCTTGGTCAGGGCACATTAGCTGGGTTGCAGGTTCAATCCCCAGCACTTTGAGCCTATGTGATGATCTAGAGGCCCCAGATTTAAGGAATGATGGGGGTCGGGGGGTGGGGGTGGGGGAGGGCGGGGCTGAAATTTATTTGCACTGCATGCTGTTTGTTGTATACATTTCCTCCTCTAATGACTGGACTGCATTTCGTAGCAGGAAAGGCAGTGTGATCCCATTGTACAGAGGTGGAAGTGGAGGCACAGAGAGGTGAAGGCAGAATGCAGACCCATAGTGTAGATCTGGCTCTTGGTTCCTGGTTTGTTTTTATGCCAAAGAGGCTGGCTCCTTCCAGGGTGCGAGAAGAGCATCGGGTCTTTTGGTAAATTAAGACACGTGACACCAGCCAATTTGTGCCATAGGGACTTGTCAAACGGCCCTTGATAGGACATCTTATCTTAAATGAACGTGTTGTTATTAGTAGGATTTATGCCTTTAGCAAAGTGTGCTTCATTTTGTGGATTAACATTACATAATGGAAGAAAGCTAGCTTTTTATTATTTACTAAATTTGTCCTGTAATTCTACATTTCTTTTTTATTTGTTTTGTTTTTTGTTAATCCTCACCCAAGGATATTTTTTCCATTGATTTTAAGAGAGAGTAGAAGGAAGGGGAGGAGGTTGGGGGGAGAAGGGAGAGAGAGAGAGAGAGAAAGAGAGAGAGAGACACACACATCGATGTGAGAGAGACACATCGATATGAGAGAGACAGATTGATTGTTGTCTCCCGCACTTGCCCCTACTGGGGCTGGGGATTAAACCTGCAACCCAGGTACGTGCCCTTGACCCTTCAGTGTGATGCTGCAACCATTAAGACACATTGGCTAGGGCTGTAATACATTTTTTAGAGTGATCGCAGTGGTCAGGTTAAGGGACACATGTCAGAATACAACCACTATATTTAAGGGATTAAGGCATTGGAAACCATGAAATTTTTTTCAGTATTTACATGTAATTTGATTATATTAAAGACTGGCCTTAATTTCCTTCCTGTGCTGATTAAGGGAGATGAAACTATCATCATTAAAGTGACTACAAAGTACATTCACTAAACTTCTTTTTTTGGTGGGAGTGTAAATAAGTATTGGGTTTTCTAAAATCACCTCCCATGTTGTCTCAATTTCTCTGAGTCGGAATGCAGGTGCTTGTGGTGTGCATAGTAGGTCACCGTTCTGTTTATCTGCAAGTCCTCTTTGCTCCTAAATCTTACTATTTATTCACAATCTAAATTTGTTTTAGCTGCAGTGATTTATAGGAGCTTGAGAAGTGTTTGTGGAAAAGCAATGGTTTTGTGTTATGCTTTAACTTGTCTCGATTGTGAATGATTTGAAAATACCCCAAAGTAGACCTAGCCAAGTTATTGTTTAAATGGGAAACAACCTCTATACGCATGTAAATACACATACACATTCTCACAAAAAGTACAAAGAATTTTCAAATAAGCATGCATGTCTTGTTGTTTTTAAGTGTGGTCATGGTGAAGGGCTTGAAATTGTTTGGGAATAACACTGCTTTCCATGCTCAACTGTCTGGGTCAGGAGCCTCATCCACCTCCTCATCATTGTTGCTGACAGATGCATATGTCTTGGGTGATATACCAGAGACTGTTCTTACCTCTTCAGTAGTGTATAGCATGTTCAACGAGTGCTGGGTGGATGATGAATGAATAGATGCATGGCTGATGGATAGATTGGATGGCTGATGGATGGATGGATGGATGATAGATGGGTGGGTGGATGGATGATGAATGGGTAGGTGGATAGATGTACATGATTTGTCTATGAGTCATCATCATATAGAAGAAGAAACACTGGACTTGGAATCACAAGAACCTAGTTTAAATTCTGACTTTTCCATCTAGCTATGTGACCTTAGGTAACTCTCCCAACCTTGTCTGAATTTCAGTTTCTGCATCTGTAGTCTAGTTACCATCTGTTGAGGACTGTGTACATGATTTAATGCTGAGCTTTTCTTCCTGTAAGCATCTTTCCATGGAAGGGCCTGGGGTTGGGGGGCAAGAAAAAGAAGCACCTCTGTGTGCTCTGGGTTACAGGTGGGTGGTGGTTCTGGGTGTCAGTCTGTGTAGAGGGCCATCCATGGATCCTGATGTTTGTCTCCTCCCCAGCTGTGATGGCCTTCCTCTTTGACCTGAAGGACTTGGTGGATCTCATGTCCATCGGCACTCTCCTGGCTTACTCTTTGGTGGCTGCCTGTGTGTTGGTCTTACGGTATGTATGGCTTTTCTGGGTCCCATGACGGAAATGCACATGAACCCTCCTAACCTCTTAGCAGTTCAAATTAGTGGTTTATACAGTCCAAATTTTAGGTTGTTGATAACTCCTTTGGGAAATTCCCAGGAGAGGGTGGGGATGTGGTGGTTGAGAGCCTACTTATAGAGAATATCCATGAAAAGATTCAGGGGTGGCCCCACCTCCTTCTATCATGTGCCCTCATTTTTCTGGCTGGATGTTGGGAGAATAGAGACAGGTTCTCATCCAAGCTGCTGAGCCTGGATCTTGGGATCAGCTTTTTTGAAGGTTTTGGTGATGATTTCAATATGGTCCAGCTTCTTGGGACAGAGTAGACTGGGGACTGGCCCTGATGAGAGTTGGGAGAATCCAATGAAACTTAGGTCACTGTGATGACCTTCAAAACTCAGGTTACTGCGGTGCTTCAGTGCACGCTGCTGGAGAAAGGCGTTCCATCATATGGTGTGGGGTGGCTGAGGTTGATGTTCAGGAAGACTTTCCAGGTTCTGGTGATAACAAAGCAGCCCAGGCTTAAGCTTAGTGTCTCGGCTACTCCAGGGCACCCCAGCAAAGCATACCTCCTGGTACCAATTTTTCTTTGTTCTGGAAGGACAGGGCTCTGCTTCCCAAGTCCCAGAAATGGCCCAAGGTAGCATTCATCATGAGACCATGTACTCATGGAGACTCTTAGTGTTGGTCACCTGGCAGGAGCCTCCGTGTTTCTTTCCAGGCATTTATACTTACAAGGCCATTATCCCGTTTCTCATGTGTCAGCATCTAATGTATGTAAAACCTGGGTTGAGCCTTGGTGGTGATTGTATAGGATCATTTAAAACTAGTTTACTACCACTTTTTGCTTCCCAAGGGCTCAATGCTGCAATCTTCTCCAAGGTCCCACCACTTTCTTAATTGACCTCATGCCATTACATTTAGTGAATCAGTGAAAATATGGTGAATATCTTTAAGCTTACTCTTAGACTGTATGCAAAGTAATTCATAAGGCACTCGGTTTTCCAAAACTGGTGGAAAAGATTTGAGTTTCGTTCATTTTGGGTAGGAGGATAAGAGGCCTCATTTAAAATGACTGCTCCATTCGCAAGTAGCTTGTATCTTGGAAATCATGCCACTGAACTCTGTAGACTTATTTATGCCAAGGCATTGGAGTTTTAAAATAAATTGATCCAATTAAGTCTCACAATATCTCAAAGCCATCAGCCTGCAGACACATTTCTCCAGCTTTCTGCACCAAATAGGATCCTGATGTTGCTTTCTATTTCTGTCTGTGCATTTAGTTCCCTGCAGCCTGGTTTTGTTGGAAGTGGCCTAGTATCTTAAGTTTCCAAGGGCTAGTGCTACTCTCAGAGCCAGAGAAACCATCTCAAGACATTTCTCTGGGCTGGTTTATGGTGGAGGTCAAGTTGTCTCAAAACAGAGACACCAAAGAAGGCTGTTGCCAGAAGGTGAGACCCAGGTCTCCTCTGTTTCCACTTTGCCAGAGAAGACATCATTCTGACCATCTTCTTCCCGTTTGATGCCTTGCGTCCTGGGAAACTTATCTTTGAAGGCTTACTAAGAAACTGAATTATTGCTTGTTCTTTTGCTTAATGAAAACATGTTGGTCACATTTGTCTGCAGGTATCAGCCAGAGCAACCTAACATGGTATACCAGATGGCCAGAACTACCGATGACCTGGATCAAGTAGACCAGAATGAATTGGTGAGCACCAGCGATTCCCAGACAGGCTTTTTACCAGAAGCAGAAAAGTTTTCTTTGAAAACATTACTTTCACCCCCAAACATGGAGCCCTCCAGATTCTCTGGGCTAATCGTGAACATTTCAACCAGCCTCATAGGTAAGAGCCTGCCCTTCCTTGGAATGTGTCTGGGGTCCTGCTTGTTGGCATTGCACGGTTTCTTGTCGTTGGGTATGGGGGTGGGTGTCAGAAGTCCTGCTGCTGGATGGACTGTGCTACCGGTTATTCTGTCCTCATTGCAGGTGATGCCTACAGAAATAGAGCCTCCCTCCCCATAGGTTTTGGGGAGAGCTGAGGGTATCATGGGAACTTGAGAAATGGTTGAGATGCATCTCTCTTTCCCTCTGTCTGTCTCTGTCTTCAGCAATTCTTATCATCATCTTCTGCATCGTGACTGTGCTTGGAAAGGAGGCTCTGACAAACGTGGAGCTGTGGGCCATCTTCATGCTCATCGTCTCTGCCGTCCTCTGCTCAGTAGTCACGGTCATCATCTGGAGGCAGCCTGAGAGCAAGACCAAGCTCTCGTTTAAGGTGAGCAGCTCTGCCTGTGCTTCTGCAGGGAGCTGCCCGATGGGACACACCCCGCACGGGCTCTCCCAGGTGTGGGTGTTTGGCGGGAGGTGCTTCCTGGCCAGCCTCAGGGGAACATGGGCCATGGGCACAGGCGGTGCCTGGTGGGGACCTGACCCTAGCTCTCAATGGTGTGGCTCCACCTCACCCACCGGGGCTTCTCACAAATGCCATCCAGGTGGATTGTGTATCATCACCAAGCCTTGGAGGTACACTTTTAAATTTCACACATAGTAGAAAAGTTCAACCTTAGAGGTAAAGTGGAATCCTTCTAGCCCCTGCTTTAATGGGAACATAGCAGGAGTGGAAAATAAGAATAGAGCTTTCTTCGGCAATTAGTTGCTTAGACCCAAGCTCCCGCCTGTTAGGGTTTGACTGCTTGGGGGTATATTTATGTTGGAGGAGTTGGGGGTGCAAGGATAGGATTGGCCCTCGCTTCCTCTTCCCAACGTAAAGATGGCAGCAGATATAGATCTCAGAGGTCCATGTAAGTGTCAGGTGCAGGATGTTTTCTAGGTCGCTTTGTTAAATGATGCAAACAGGTGCCAGCTCCAACTCTGCTGTCAGGGCTGACGCTCCACCTTGTGTCTTCGCAGGTGCCCTTCCTGCCAGTCCTTCCCGTCCTGAGCATCTTCGTGAATGTCTATCTCATGATGCAGCTGGACCGAGGCACCTGGGTCCGGTTTGCGGTGTGGATGTTGATAGGTATGTCCCATACTCCAGTGTCTGCTGAGACCTCCCACCCCTGCTGATCACTCATGACCCTGCTACTTACTTGGCAGAGGGCTAATGTCTTTGAACCTCCTCAGTTCAGATTTCAAAACACAGTAGAAACACAGGTAGTCAACAGTTTTCTCTCAGATAACAAGGAGCTCCTGGTAGGTTATGGGTCCTTCCCTCTTTTTCAGATACTTTTCATTTTAATAGCCTCTTGCCTGAAGTAGTTATGTTATTGGGCAAGAGCTTGAGGTTAAGAGCAAGGCTATGAGCATGAGCCTGCTGTCAATAAAGCACCAGTCGTTTCCACCCCCAGTAGGAAAGTCGGGACCTCACCTCTTTTCGTGGGCAGTGGGCACTGGCAGGGCCTGCAGGGGCTTGGGTGTCACCTTGTGGGTGCTGGTCCTGTCTGGGACTGACCGTGGCCTGGCCTCTCTCTGGGCCTCTCCCTCTGGGGATAGCAGGAGATGGATCAGGTTTCTTCCTCAGTGTCCAGTCTGAGTGCTGATGAAGGGCGACTGGCCTTGACCTATGTCCCTCCGTGTCCCTGTCAAGAGCAGAAATCTCAGGACCAGGTTTTGCTAAACCTCTCAGTCTGGGGCCACACCTTCGGGTAGATGGCTGCTGCTATGCCATCTCCAGGGTGGTACTTTGCTACCCCATTCTCTGCAGACCCCTCACTCCCCTCAGAGTCTAGCCTGTGTTTAGCTGGACAGGCATCTCCTGTAGAGTCATTCTGTGAGAGCTGGCTCAGTCTGCGCTCAGCCCACTGTGGCCATTCCTTGAGACTGCAGAGCCAGGTGCTTACTTCCTGCCAGAGGTGCAGGGACTGCTTCTGAGCATCCCTATGTAAGCGCCTGGCTTCTGGGCATTACCTACTTCCTGTACTTTTGGTAGCTGAGCTGGGTCCTTCCTTTAAGGACCACTCTCCTTATGTCACCAGCAAAAGGGTGGCCCCAGGGCCACCTGGGTCACAGTCTCTGGACAGTAGTTAGAATCACAGATCTCTGGACCGGACTGATTCGTATGGTACACTCATTCCCAGGTGACCCGAATGCCCCCTGCAGTGGGAGTCACTGCCACAGAGAAAAGGAACAGCCGGGACCGTGCAGACTGCACGGAGACCCACGCTGGCAGGGAGAAGCACAGCTTCTGCAGTGTCCGTCTTGACCCTTCCAGTGGCCACAAGCCCCCCAATTAGGTGGTCAGTGGATGAACCTGAGGGATTGATGTCCCTTCCAGGGGCCCCCAACTGAGCAGTTCCCCTGCTCAGGAGCTTCCCTGGTATGACGCTCTCCAGAGGGTCACCTTTGCTGGACCTGTTTGGAGAGTTGTGTTGTTTCTTTAAGTGTAAAGTGTAGAGAGTGGAGGCTCAGCTCAGAGCAGGCAGCGTGGAGAGTCTTTGCTAAGCCCCAGGCTGTGCTGTCTGCTTCCTTGGACCCCATCTGCTCTGTTCACTGCTCTCTGCTCTTGGCCTGCAGGCTTTGCCATCTACTTTGGCTATGGGCTGTGGCACAGCGAGGAGGCATCCCTGGTCGCTAAACAAGCAAAGACTGCTGATGGCAATTTGGACCACTGCAAATGACGCACAGCCGCATCCACCGGAGGTGACAGAGCACCCAGATGCACCGTGCTGTCTCCACCAATGCAACAGGACCCCCCACAACCGCAAGGCTCCTGAGCAGCAGAAGGTGCACTGCCTGGACTACAGCCGCAGCCCACATCTCGAAGGCTTGCCCGCCATGCTCTCGGGCAGGCTCACCAGGCGGTTACTTCTGACAGCTCCCTCCAGGGCCGCTTGGCTGTGGCTGCCACTGTGTCTCCTAACTTCCCTCCGAACAGAAAGCAGCTCCTCCTGCCGTGCTGCTGTGGCCCCAGGCAGGATGGAGATCTCCTTCTCATTACTGGGCACCCAGGGCTGTGTCCCAGGCACCGTTCTGGTATTGAAAACGCGGCTACTCCAGACTCATAGTAGCCTCTCCCCGCTCAGCTGGAACAGCCGGCCATCAGTACAAGATGAGTACCACGAAACAGTATGCTTCCACAGGCCTGCCCCTGAGCCAAAGGACAGCTTGCTCCAAAAGAAAAAACAAAGATTGGTTTTCTTTTCCTGCCCCTGCCCTCTGAGTTGTTTCCAGAAGGGGTCTTAGTGTGACCCCTTCTCCACTCTGCCACCTTGACAGAGCGAGAAGACAGAGCGGGAAGGAGGCAGGGCTGGGGGCCGGCCTCACTCCAGAACACGTATGCACGGGGGACCTCCTTCAGCCACATTCCCGCCGGGCCCAGCCTGTTCTTGCTGCTCTGGCGTCTCATTGCTGCTCTGTGTCCTGAGCAACTGGAACGTGACACTGTTTATGGAGGATCGGCCTCAAATTAGCAGCGCTCAAAACACCCTTTTCCGTGGGTCTCTGCCTTTCACTGAACCCTGTCCTCTGATGCTTGCGGGTCAGTGTTTGGGGTCTTGTAAGGTTCCCAGGACAGGTGTCCGCTCGTTCTGAGGTGATGGTGAACGTTCCTCCCCACACTTGTGGCGCCTGCCACGATCTCGTTGGCCCTTCTCTCAAGTGTAATCAGATTGAGTCCTCCTGTTGGTTTCTGTGAATCACTCCACCAAACAAGTTGGTGCTTAACATTAACTTGGAAAATGGCCAAATGATTAGCCTGTGCCGTCAGTGTATTGTTCAGAGTGTGAGGCCCCACACTCGACGGTTGGGGTATATTGCTGTCCCTCTGGTGTACCTGTCGTCCAAATGCCCTGGGTTTGTTTAGAGGTTTGTAACCCGGCCCAACCCCCTGCTCCATACGTCTCCACAGTGAGCTGCTCTCTGCGGCACTCACAGGCCGAAGCTGGAGAAAACAAACACCAGTCCCTTCGTCCTCGTCAGGGTGTCGTCCGGGAGACAGGAGGCCCTTGTTGACGGAGGTAGAGGGAGACAGACATTTCACACAACACAGAACATGTAAATGCTGCCGTCAAAGCTTATTTTCCCATTTCTCCCCCCTGGCCTTTGGCACAAATCTGGTCGAAAGAAGCTGGTAAGTTGACAGCACTTGTCTTTTGTCCTGCCCAGAAGACTCTTGGAGAAAAGTCTGAGTTTGTGAAACAGCCAGACAGCCAGGCTGGCCGCCGGAGGACGGCTGGGCAGTCAGCCTGCCGGGCCGTCAGCCTGCCGGGGCAGGGCCCTTGGTCAGGCCCCAGGTGGGTTTCCAAAGAAAGGTATTTAAATTGATGTAGATTGGTGCTGTAAACTGTTTTGATAAATGTTAACTTATTTTGTTTGGGTTTGGTTGTCTGCTATTTTCTTGGGCCTGTTAGCTGTCCGCTCCATGTGGCTGGTATTTTCCCACATAAAGCACTAGAGGGAGGTGTGCCTAAAAGATTTTTTTTTTTAATTTCTCTTTCTGGTTGAAATATCCATGAATTTTCTGGGTGATCGGAGAGCAGAGAGCAGTGAACAGAGCAGATGGGGTCCAAGGAAAGTGCCCAACAGACTGTGATCACAGTTGACCTTTTCACTAGCAACACCCATCCTTCTGCAAACTGAAAAGGTGCGATTCTCCTGCACGGTCTCACGGATGAGAACCTGCCGACAGGCCAGAGCCAGACCTGCTCACAGAAGGCGAGGGGCTCAGGCTAAGGAGAACCCCTCACCTTCCCTCCAGGCAGAGCCCCAGTGTGGGGCAGGGCCCCGAGGGTGACTCAGACATAGTGCACTCTTGCTGAGAGTAGTTTGTTCTCTTCGTGTCTGAGGGCCATGACATAGGGATGGTATCGGGGCTAATCTCTCAATGTGAATAGACTTAAAACACCTCACCCTGCCCCTGAAATACACACACACACACACAGGCAAAAAGAAAATCCACCGAAAGTGCTCCTCCCACCAAACAAGAATAGGATTGTCAGTTTTGCAGCTCAGCCAGTATTTTCCTACACAAATTTCACACATCTGGAGACCCTCTGGGGATGTTGTGTCTACTCATCTGTGCCCCAGCCCCAAATGCTGAGGAGGGAAAGACCCTTTGTGCTGAGTAAGTGCCCCTTCCTGCCTCTGAAGTCCCATCAGCATGTTTCCAGGGCCTGAGAACTCACAAAGGAGCAAATTGGAGCCCCAGGGCCTCTGCTGAAGAGGGAGAGAGAAGGGGTTTCCAAGGAAACAGCCGGCCTCTGGGGCCTTCCAGAAGGGGGACCCTTGGCCTCTGCACATGCCCCACCCTGCCCATCAGCTCACACTCCCTCGCCCCAACGCTGAGCTGGATTTGTTTTTCCAAACCAAGAAGGAGTAGTGATAGAGCCATCTTTTCCAGGCTGTTTTGGAAGGACGGTTGCCAGAACCCCTCACATCTTGCCCACCTTTGGTTTTATTCCATTGCGTTATCAGGCAATCAGCCACCTGCTCCCATGTGCTGATGTGTGTTTTGGACACCACAGGTCTGCCTCCTGCTGTGTGTTCCCGCGCCAGCTCCCAAGGCCCTGACACACTGCCCTCTGCCCCTGTGGCAAGGCCCATGTTCACACTTGGATGAGGCACCTGGCCCTGCCTGATCCTTGACCACTGCATTGGTTCTGCTGCATGCGTGGGGGTGGGAAGGTGGATTCTGCCAGGTCTCCCCTCCACTCCCACCACTAAGGCTGTCTGAGTTGACTAGGTTTTGCAATCCCAATAGGATGGCCTCTAACCTAACATTGGAGACAGACCTATGAGGTCAGGCTGGGTTCCTTGGGTGAGTGTTGACAGACCTCTTGGAGGCCCTACCCGTTAGGTGAGCTCACTGGCATTTTGGGGAGCTCTGCCTAGCTTTGTACCAGGCCCCACTGTTACACATCTAATACAAACCATCACCATGAAGACAGGCCCCATGACCAGCGTGTTCCAGGATGGATGGAGAGGGAGTGTTTGTGGGCACATCCACTCTGCTGGGCGAAGGTGTGTGATGCGTATTTATGGAACTGGTTAGTTCCCTTTCAATGGAACTAGATACGTTATGTATAATCTAAACTATATCTGTTTGCCATCATAAGGAGAGTATTGTACTTAAGGTTCCTTGGGGAGAGGAGATGTAGATTTTGTCAGACTCTCCTGGACTTTTTTTTGGTAATGAAATGCTTTATTACCATCCAGTGATGTAAGAAGCTACACTCTGTATTTCCTCATCATCATTGTGATGCCTGAAAATTAGGCCAAAAAATGTCAACTGATGTTCATCTCCGTCACTATAATCCAGACTTTGTGCCCATTGCTTGCTGAAGTAGCGCTCTCTTTCAAGGGGACATGGACTGACCAAGGGTCTCAGGCGCAGTTACCAAGGAGCCATCCTGGATCGTTCTCCAGAAGTGGAGCTTGAGATGGACGACCTTGGCCGTGAAGTCCAGGCGATTTTCTCAGGGTGTGAGAGTGTCCGCAGGCTCAGGAAGCAGGGCTAGGAAGATGCACTTAGACTTTGCTAGTTTAGTAACAAGGTATGATCTTGTGTTTCTTGATGACAGACTTTTTAATTTGAGAACTTATTCTCCTATTTGAGAAGCTATAATATATATTTAAAATAAGTTTCCTGTTTAAGTTGTGCCTTTCAGCATCACTGGGTGCAAGGAGCACCAAGGGTGATGATCCCCATGAGGGCTGGCTTATCACCAAACCTGAAGAGCTGTGTGGTCTCTCCAGTAAACGTTTTCTTCTATTGGACATGGAGCCATTATTAAATGAGTTTTGTTTTTTATTATGTAAATTGTAAAATATTTTTTGTTTGATGCTCTATTTTTCTAATAGTTTTCTTACAGTTATGATACTAGAGTTAGATTTTAACGCTAACTGCAAATCAGGTTGGTCTCTGCTGGTCCCTCCTGTTTTCACTTTATTTTAAGAACGAGCATAGATGTTGTCCATCACTTTTTAAAAATGTGAAACTGCATCCCATTTTCGCTGACAACAGTGTGCATCGACAACTTCTTACTGTACTTTGTGTTGTAAAATCAAACTGTTTTGTGGTACATTATCTCATGCTTCTGCAAATTCTAATAAATTCTGTAGCTTCAGTGTGCACGGTGTCCATCTCAAGAATTCCAGCAGCTTTGGCCAGGTCCCCAGGAGTGGCAGTGCCCCACGGAGAGGTCCAAATCCCGCGCTTTGCTTCTTTAGTACCTTCCTGCCTCCCCACAGGCCGGTGTTCTATCGCCTCCTTCAGCCATTGGGTGGAAATCCTTATTCCAACAATAAGCTGGGAAACCCAGAGCCAGGAACCCCTAGAGCCCTCATTTATGATCCTCTGCCGCTATCTCCCCACTGCCCACTCTCCAGACTTGGCTTGGGTTTGGGCCCCAGAGGTTTCATTTCCTGAAGGACTTGGGTATGGGGTGCAGCTAAACCCCTCACACCAGAACGCCCCTCCACACCCACCATTGCTTAGGGAGGATGGGTGCATGCAGGGCAGGGAGAGGGTGGGGAGGATTGTAGCTGTTCTAATACTTGATCTATCTGTCCGCATTCCCCCTTGAGAAAGGATCATTTTCTTGCAAGGGAGGCAAATTCAGTCAAATTGACCTTAGCTCTCAGACACTGACACACAGTGATCCAGTGATCACATGGGCAAATCTGCTGCCAGAAAGACAAGGCCTAACCTGTGTGTCATCTCAGCTGATGCCAGTGCTGGAGGGGACACCCAGGAGAGCAGAGAGAAGGGCAGGGAGCTGCTGTTGGGCCTGGCGCTGGCGGCTTGTCATGGGGAATAAAATACTGACGACCAGGCACATCACCCGGTGGTCGGCTAGATGGTAAACTGGAACACAAACCCGACCCGATGGTGTGGAGGTGTCCCCAACATGTCCCCAGGGTGTGCAGTGTCTGGGGACGTGGGCAGGCAGGAGTCCATTGCACCCCCCAGGGCAACTTCTCAGAGGTCTCCAGTGAGCCCAGTCCCTGGCCTTCAGGATCAGTGGGCGTCAGTGTCTCAGAGAGCCCAGAACTGGGACAGGACCACGGTGGCAGGGGATGCGAGAGTCAGCTAAGCACTGGCCTGAGCTGAGCACATGGTGCAGCCTCTTCCAGCAGTGCCACACTGCCACCTAGTGGCCTGCCACAGGGTTTCCAGCCTTTTCTGGGAAACCTTGAGCCCCAGAAAGGATCCAGGTTGCAGGCCTTGGGAGAGTCGCCTGAAGCACCTTTTCCCTGCACAGTTTGGTTATGATACACTTCTGCCGAATCCAGAGCTGTGCCAACAGCTTGGCATTCGCAGTAACAAGGAATCCTGTAAAGGCTCTTCACCAGGTGACAGCCAGGAATTGCTGCCACCTTGCACACTGACTACTCTAGCCCAGCCTGGCTCAGCCCCCAGAGCAAGGCGGGGTTGGAATACCTACTGGGGGTAACACTGCTGGCCCCTCTTCAAAGGGAACAGTTTCGTTTGAGCAAATCAAGCCTTCCTACCAACCCATCAATGCAGTCATTGAAAAATGCGCTGTTAGAAAAGGCTCAGGGACCAAACTGGCAGTGCTTTTGCTAACAAGCTGAGCCCTTTGGCCTGTTTCAGATGGCCAGCACCTAATCCTAGGGGACTCAGGTTGGGTAGGGAAATGGAGAAGCTGTGCAGGTTACACTTTCCCAAGGATACTTTAACATTTTACTTCGCAAAACAATGAAGTTGGCCCTGGTGGGGTAGCTCAGTTTGTTTGAGTGTCGTTCCAATACACCAAGGTTGTGGGTTTGACCCCGATCAGTACACATACAAGAAGCAACCAATGAGTGCATACAGAAGTGGAACAACAAATTGATGTTTCTCTCTTTTTCTCAAATCATTAAGTAAAAAACATTTTTTAAAAACACAATGAAGTCACTTGTTGAGTGTGCCTGCCAGTGGTCTGCAATCACTGGAGAGGGGATGCTTAACCTGGGCGCAGGGAAGACGGAAACCACCACCCAGAGAGCAGCAGCTGTGCACGGTGGCCTGCTGGTTGTCCGTGCAGTGGGTGCCCTAGCGTGCTGCGCCCAGCCAGGACCCTGGGTCACTTGCAGCAGAGTGACTCCAGCTTAGAGCTGAGTAGAATCTCATCCCCCCATGTCTTGGCTGGAAGAGCCTCAGAGACTTGAACTAGCACCCACCTCACCCCCCAACGCCCCCCCCCCCACTCCTGATCGGGAGGGGGTGGAGAACAGAGCTGAGCTGGCTGAACCCAGGGAGCCTGTTGTTTTGTTTTTAAGAGGTTTGAGAGAAGCAGAGTAGTTAAAAAAGATATTAAGCAAACTTAAGTGATTTAATTGCCCTTGTCTTAACAACTTTGGGTGTTTTTTGTGTATATTTAAGCATTTGATCCAAACATTCCAGTGGGCAGAATGCTGATTCGTAATAACATTGTGCAGTCCCAGAGATCTGGTTTGATGCCTATACTCCAGTGATGGCGAACCTATGACACGCGTGTCAGAGGTGACACGCGAACTCATTGTTTTGGTTGATTTTTCTTTGTTAAATGGCATTTAAATATATAAAATAAATATCAAAAATAGAAGTCTTTGTTTTACTATGGTTGCAAATATCAAAAAATTTCTACATGTGACACGGCACCAGAGTTTAGGGTTTTTCAAAATGCTGACACGCCAAGCTCAAAAGGTTCGCCATCACTGCATACTCTGAGGCAGCACCAGCTGTGCAAACAGGTGAGACACCTCGTTTTATTGTGCTTTGATTTATTGCACCTCACACATGTTGCATTTTTTACAAACTGAAGGCAAGGCCTTCCACTAGTTAAAAGTTTACAACTTGCTTTATTGCAATATTTGCTTTATTGTAGTCTGGAACCGAACCCGAGTATCTCCGCAGTATGCCTGTACCCACTTCTGGGTTTCTACCTGAGCATCGCTCCTTCCGCTGAGATGAGTGACCCAAGTCCCACGCAGGGAGAGCCGGCTGTGCCAGGCTCCTTGCACAGAGGAGGTGACCAAGTGGTTGACTTTAGAGGTCTCGCCTGCCTGCTGCAAATCAGCCGTGAGAGGGGAGAGTTCTCTGCAGACAGGAGGAAGCGGCTCTAACGTCGTCACTCCCTGCATATGCCAGTGGCTGAGTCACCCGCCTGCTCAGTAAAGGTGAGACCTCACGTGTGGGGGAAAGGAATGAAAGGGGGTTATTATAAAAGTGGAGGACACAAGACACAGCAAAAGACACTAACAGGCTGGGACAGGTTGACAAGTGAATCAATAAATAGGTCGTCACTATCAATAATCTGGAAGCTGGGTGACTTAGAGGGGATTCTGTGGTCCTTGCAGGTCTGGAAATGACTCGAGGAGATTTATCATCCGCGAAAGCTCTCTTGTTCAGCAGCTGTTCAGTACGGCAGACTTGCTACAGTCTCACTAAAGTCCCTACCACTCCTATATGCCCCACAGGGAACTGACAATAGGGGTCTCCCTTGCATCCTTAAGCAGGGGCAGGCTGCCAAGCTGGCTGCAACCCACCCAGAGGTCAGGACTGGGGAGCAAGTGCTTTCAGGCTGAAACGTGCTGGCTGCACAGAGTATTATAGGAAGAGCCACAGAGCTGTCCAGGCTCCCGTGTCCCCTGTTGGCATGAGAAAGCCTGACAGATCGTTGTGCACGATAAGGAACTGCTGTCTGTGACCATCACACCAGGAGGGCTCCTCCTTGCTGCTCATGAGAGAGCTCTATGGCCATCCAGGCATGAACTGGCAGGATTTAGGACACATCAAACTTTTGTTGGGGGTAGAATCATAACCCTGCCTAAGGCTGAATTTAAAATCGATGGTAAAGGAATTGCACTCAATCTTTTGTGTCCCTTTCCCACGGACTCCAGCCCACCAGCCTACTAAAGACAGCGGGCTGAGCAGAGTCACTGAGCCCCTGAAAGCCAGGGCCAGGCTCCTGGAGATCCTGGGCTTCAAATATGGGTGTGGGGGGGCGTTGGACCTGCTGAATCAGGGCAAGAGGTCTGGACACTCAGTGGCTGACCCTGGCAAAACACAGAAAAAAAAATCCAGCCTGCCAAACACCTCCCTGGCTGCTATGGATCCAGCCCTAATTTCCTCAAGCCTGAGCTGGTCAGGCCAAGAGTTACATCAAGTGCGTGTCACGGGAGCTCCCTCAAATTAACTTTAATATGCTTCAAACACAAATATGCAATACAGAAAGTGTAGGGGCTGGGTAAGGAATGTGTGACCCCACTCAAGCAATCACACCCAGTGTGCCAGTCCATCAACCCCTCCTCTCTCGGAAACCCGGCCAGAATCCTGCCCCAGCTCGGGGGCCCGGCAGTGGGGAAGGGCACACACTCAGCTCCCAAATGCTCAGAAAAGGTCGGTGAGGTCTGATGGGTTTGTCTGAGGCAGCGGAGCTGCGGCATCTGTAAGTGGAAACAGCTCCGGCCTGAGACGTGATGACAGGACTTGCATGTTGAGAGGTCCAAGTCCTAATAGCGTGCGGAGTGGCGGAAGGAGCACAATGGCTGCCACCCCTCCTGTTCCAGGATAACGGCCAGAGGTGACGGGAGTCCATGGTGAAGGATGAGGCCAGGGCAATGTAGGAATTAGCTCAAGTGCCCAAGGTGAGGGCTGGTCAGGGCAGAGCTCCAGTCCACCTGGTGAGGGATTATTTAGTGCTAACATCACCACGCCTTGGCCACAATAGGCTAACACGCTGTAGCACATCCTAACAGAACACTGGAGTCGGTATTGCTGTGTAACTGCATTTAGCAGGTGTCCCTATGGACGCAGTTCCTAATTTGGAGAACTGAGCTACCGCTGAAACTGTGTTTGTAGGTGGTGCCGCTAAAAGAAGACATAACTGTGTACTTTGTGAACATGGCATAATCTACTCTAATGGAATGCCCGACTCAATATCACAGTATCATGCAGAGCCATGAGAGGAGAAACGTTCCTTTGATGGGCATCTACTGTGTATGTCCCCAGGATGGGCGGATACTATTGGAGGTTTGCTAGAAACAAGATGGAACTTAAGCAGAAGCCCAACCTTGACTCAGGCAGGGAACACAGACCAGGTCTGTCTTCATGTGAGTGAAACAGGCAGGCCTTTGGGCAAGCCGACCCCTTCCTTCTGTGGGCCGTCTCTTCCCCACCACAGATGACCCTGCCTGAGTCCACTTGCCTTGGTCATACTCAAAGACTGCCCTGTGCTCAGGACAATTTCCAGGGGCCTTAGGGAGGGAAGTACAGGGTCTCTGTCACAAACAGGAAACAAAGGCATCATTATCATCATATCAATTGTTAAAACTACTTCCCTGTTGGGTGTCATGCTCCTAACCTTCCACAGCACTACAGGAATACCTCTCATGTTCTAATTCTACCATTTCAGAGACAGGTGCCAGTCCAGTAGCCAGTAACCACTGGCTGGAGTTTCCGTGGGCTCCTCTGTGTGGAAGGACCTTTTGGGTCCTAGATGGAGCACTGTCAGCTGTGGCATTGCTCGATGATCCTGCAGAAAATATACCTGGGTTCATGGAGGGTCAAGGGATGGTCTAGCTCAGCGTGGAATTGGTCCCCCAGGACGGAAGAACTGGTTTTCTGGAAGCCCCTGCTAGAACCCCTGAGCCATCTCAATGCACAGTGATGGGACTGAGTTACTGAACCGAACTGAAGGGGAGATTGCTATGAATGGGGGCCTGAGGGTCATATCGGTGGGTTGACCACTCGCAGCATCAGATCAGAGCAAACCACCTAGACTGCCAGAGCGTCCCTGCTCTGGGCTCAGTCAGGGCACAGATCCTGTCAGCAGTTTTCCTCTTGAGGCCGCAGGGCGAATGGTCTTGGTCAGCTCCAAGGTCATCCTCACCCTCCCTCCAGAAGGGCTTTCTCTCCCATATTTCCCCCGAGGGAGCAATAGCTGAAGGACAGATTCCAGGATGCCGTTTAGGAAAAAAGCAAAACTTGTGTTTACAAGACTATAGATGATTCACTGTCATGTCGAAACATCCAAAAAGCTGCCAAACCCCGCAGGGTTTCCCACTGCGCTCCCTTAGCCGCTCACCACAGGAGCCTTGATAATTAAAACCTGCGAATGGAATAATGGTGACTTCAGATCATGTTGACTAAGAAGCTGATTGTTCCAAAGGCAGTTACCGTTCACAAGTCGCTGGTGTTTGTGTTAAATACAGTACCACTTGGTGGCAGGTCGAAAGGCGCTTCTTCTCAGTATCTTTTTTTTTTTTCTTTTCTATTTTGGGTAGAAATATTCCTGGGAAGCTAGATAGAAATGCATTTTCATTTCCCAAGTATTCTTAGGCACAAGTTAGAAAACTGCTGACCTTCACCAAAATATGTCAGCACTTCATGTTATAAAAAATGCAATTTAGAACCACCGCGTGTGCAGATACGTTCATTGACATATCTACACACATCGGTGCAGCACACAATGATTATTCGGTATAGATTCCAAACTGAACTATCTGTCACTAACCTGAAATTCTGCAGTGAAAATTCATTGCTCAAAAACAATTGGCATTTCTTTCTTTTGGCTCTAACTACGGTCCAACGTTTGCACATCAGACACGACCGCGAACACTTCCCTCAGTGGCAACGCCAGGGAAGAGCAGTGACTGGGGAGGGCGCCGCTGAGCAGCTCCTGAGCATGCGCGGGGCGGCCTTGGTGAAGACTCCCCAGGTGGAAGCGCGGGTGCGTGAGGGGCCGCAGCTCCGAGGGCCGCGTGGCGTTGTCATCTGGGCGTGGTGCCCACTTTGGCGGGTGAGGAGGGTCCGGAGGAGGAGCCGCGGTAAACAGGGGACGTGGGGGTGAGTTTAACTGGGCTGGTTGGGTCCCCAGTTTGGAGCTTCCAGAGCAACTCTTCATTGGTGCGGCTCAGCCTCTTCTTCTCCTGGGCCTCCTTCTCCGCGTACTCCTGCAGGTTGGCGTTCTCCTCCGACAGCTGTCTGCAAGGGAGAGGACAGTCATGCCACAGGCCTCAGCTCGGATACGCCAGGCCAAGGACGCCTGCGGGGGCAGCGGGGGTAAGTCGGACCCTAACCCACAGTCTCGGTTGAACCACTATTGCTGCTTGTCCCACCACCACATCGGTTCTCCCTCCCCTCTTCCTGCCCCCCTCCCCCCTCCCATTCAGCCCAGTGATGGCTCAGCCCTCATGGACAAAAATAGCCTCCCACTGGCTGTTTTATTGCACACCAACCCAAGTGGTGGTGGTGGTGGGGGGGGGGGGGTGTTGTATCTCCACATCCTTCCCTGGAAGTTGGGGACCTCAGAGCAGGGGACCAAGATAGAGATGATGTCACCAGGAGCAGCTGCATTTGGCTACACGGCTTCTCTCTGGCACATTCCATCTCTGCTGTCCTCTGTCAGGGCCAGCCCTTCACTGCCAGGGCCAGGCTGGCCCATGGCGACAGCTCAGCAGCCAAGGGAGACGTGGGTCTGCACTGCTGAGCTGGCCATGCACAGGGTGGCGCACATGAGGTTCCCTTTTCCCTGGGAACCCCCAGCGGCCCCTCTCCAAAATCCGCCCTGGGAACAAACCTGAGCAACACCCAGCCGCGTCGGGGCTCCTGCCATATGCTTTCCGACGGTCGGGGAGGCCTCACAGCTCAGAGGAGTGAGGTAAATTGGATGTTGGGACACAAACAGGACCCTCAAGCTCAGCAGCAAAGCCACTTTGTGGGGGGCACATGGTTTGTGAGTTTAGACACCTGCTCTGCCTACCTCGTGACGACAGTATTCTGGTCAATCCTTGCTCTGAGATCTTCGTTCTGCTGCTGGAGAACTTGGATTTTCTCCTCCAGGATAATGTTCTTTTCCGCCTGGAAAGGGTGCAGTGTTAGGAGGCCTCTGGCAGGGCCGTCTGACAGGAAGGAGACCAGTGCCCTTGGAGGGTTATCAAGAAGCGTGTTTTGCAAACTACAGTGTGTAGTGCACTGGTGGCTTGTAAAATTAGGTTAGAGGGATGTGGTCGGCATTTGTTGAAAACAGAATAAAGCAGAAGAGAAAATACCAGAATGTGCTGTATATAGTAAAAGTAAGTATAGTTATATATATTTTAGATGTATAGTTTTATTTCACATATATTATGAATGTGTGTGTATGTATATACTGGAATCCTGTGTAGAATATATTTTGTATAGTGAGTGTCCCCAGGCCGTTGCCATTGTTAGAGATATGCCATGATCAGCACCAGGACCTAGTCTGGCTAACGGGTCCCATGGCCCCCCCCCCCCCCCGCCCCCCGTACTGCATTACCCTCCCTTGCTGGGTGCACCCTATGACATTCTAAATGAATGGAGAGATGGAAACATGGACACATTTTCCCTTCTGAGACTATGGGCAGCCAGGAATGCAAAGCACAAGACCATCTTGGCACATTCTCAGAAAAATCACAGCACCCAGGGCTGCTACTGCTCCACAATTTATACCATTCTCTCTGTCAGAGGGTCTCACAGGGCCCGAGACCTAGCTGAAGTACAGTTCCGTTCTAATATGAAGTTTAAAATAAATTATTTTTGAAAAGAACGTGACAAATTCTATATTAGTGTAGTTAATCTTTAAGGAAAACGTTCACCTCTCCAAGAATAAGGGTTAGGAATCAGAGCCAAAGAATGGACCTCTGTCCCTGCTCTTCATCAAGACACTCTCACCCAGCCCTCCACTTTGCTCTAAGGAAGTGGGACGTGATTAAATCAGTACCCCACCCCATACACACAACTGCTTCTGGAGTGAGAAGTCATGAATGCCTGCAGAAAGCCTAAAACATGGCTAAAAACAGCCACATCAGCCTCTAGGCTTGTCAGTGATTGAACAACTGGGTGCAGATGGCCCAGCCTGGAGGAGGAGGGTTGCTATCCTCATGTTGGTTGGACTACAGGCAGGACCAGGAGGGCAGGGCTCTGTCCCTGAGCTCCCAGTGGTCTTAGTTGTTGTCTTGCTGGGAAGCTCTGGGCTGCCGAGGGCTGCTGAAAGGTGCCACGTGGCCAACATTAGCCAGGATGCTGGTAACAGACACTCACATCCAGGTCTGCCCCCTCCTAACTGATGAGCACCGGGCAGAAAGAGATGTCTGCGAAAGGGGACAATGCTAGACAAGAGAGGGCCGTGACAACTGAATGTGAAACTGAGGTCTCCAGCAGCTCCTGATTAGGGCAACCAGCTCCAAGGATATTTCAGTACAATGGAGAACTTCAACAGTTAGACCAGATGATCGGTTACTGAGGGGGTAAGTTAAAGATCTGCTCACTGAACGTGTGCAGGGGATGTCTCAGGTATGTACACGTGTACAGAGAAGCTCTGGAAAGTGTTAACAGTAGTAGAAATATATTTTAAGTTTCTTATTCTGTTCATCTTATCATTTTTTTTAAAATGTATTTTTATTGATTTCAGAGAGGAAGAGAGAGGGAGAGAGAGATAGAAACATCAATGATGAGACAATCGTTGATCGGCTGCCTCCTGCATGCCCCCTACTGGGGATTGAGCTCGCAACCCGGGCATGTGCCCCAACCGGAAATCGAACCATGACTCCAGGTTAATAGGTCGGCACTCAACCACTGAGCCATGACGGCCAGGGCTGTCTAATCATTTTCTATAATGCACATACTTTCCTTTTATAGTATCAAAAGTTTGTTTTTCATATAACAATTTATAAAAAGGAATAAAAGGAATAAAACATAAGAATTTATCTGAGAGCTTTGGGTCAAGTTCCAGTTCAGGATGGTATCTCCTTGGAAACTGGCTTCTCTGCTACTAACTTTGGACAATCATCTCCTTGAGCCCTGGCGTGGCCCTTGTGCCTAAAGGTAGAGAATGAACTTTGGGGTGCTCTGTTCCCCAAAAGGGGCACCCTTTGCTGGTTCTGTGGAAACCAGGCTGAAAGGTGAGGCCGAGAGTGGTGAGAGCGCTGGCCTGGGGCTCCCTCCCGCCTGGGGGTAGTCACTGATTGACTTTAGCGAGATGCCCTGTCCCAGGCCCCCATCTCTAACTTGTGAAAGGAGGCTCCCAGCACCTCCTTCACAGCCCTGCTGTCAGAACAGAGGCATGGAGAGTGCTCTGCGTGGTGCCTGGCACACGTCAGTGATGCTCATCTGTGCTGGCTCATCACACGTCGGCCAGGGAGGAGTGAGGAAACCACTTCAGAGCCATGGGGCGGGGATGGAGGCTGCAGAGTTGGACAAAATGAGGCCACCTCTGAGACCCCTGGCTACCTAAGAAAGGCCTGAGACTCAAGGATAGAATTCTCCACGCAGGTGGGAGCCATGGGTTCAGGGCTCGCGTCCTGAACGGTGTCAGTGTTGACATCAACGATGACAGTAAGGTTGCTAGGCTCTCCCCAGGAAATAGACCAACTCACCAGCTTTTCCAGCTCAATAATCTTCTTTTCCTGCTGGTGTATTTGCTGATTCTTCATCTCTAACACCTGCTTCAAACTCTTCATGTCTTCTTCCAAGTGCTGATAGGGAGCCAGTGCAACCTACAGGGGCAGAGAGCGACAAGCTATCTTCCCGGTCCTGGCAAAGGCCACTGCTCACCACAGTCACGGATTTCACTAAAGCTAGTCTTCTTTAACCAGTTGCCCAGTAGGCACTGGAGCATGAGGGAGAGAGAGGAACATCAGCTCACACAGCCCTCCCTGGTAGAGATGCCCACTGGTGTCCCACTGGGAATGCGACTAAAAGTCCAGCTCCCTGGGGAAAAGAGAGAGACAGCCATCGCCACTGGAGAGTGTGGGGGCTGGAATGGCCGGATGCTACCAGCCCATCCCCAGAGGGAGCTGGTGCGGTGAAAGGAGTCAGTTCGACACTGGCTTTGGACAGTCACTCAGACCACTTGGTTCAGCAGGTGGCGGGGATTTCCAGGTGCCAGCTGTGCCCTTCAGAGCCCCAGCCCAGCATAGAAACAGAGCAAAGTGGTTTTAAAAGCAGAAAAGGCATTTAAAAAAAGAAATGTTAGAGTGAGGTTGCCAGATGCCAACAACAACAACAAAAAAAACCCCATAGTAAAGTGGTTAAACTTGAATTTCAGATAAACAACATTATATTTAGTGTAAGTATTGAAAGGGACATCCTTATACTAACTTCTCTGTAATGCAGGTTTAACTGGGTGTGATGTGCTGCATATGGCAACTGGACACCAGAGGGGAGGAATTGTGCCAGCTCTTCTGGCAAAAACTCGCTCAACCTACTAACTCGGGCCTCAGTGGAGCCTCCCCGTGCCAGCCTGAGGGAGCTGGAGAGGACAATGGCGAGGTGGCCCTGGCCCGGCCACACTTGTCCCAGGAGCTCAGGCACAGTGGCGGGAGCCGTGTGCCCTGTGGCAGGAATAACATTTAGATGGAGAAACCCCCGTCTGAGGAGAGGTGCTGACAGGAATATGTGTAAGATCCGGGAGGGCCTGACCAGCTGTCACTTTGGTAGCAGATTAGCACAGAGGCCCTGTCATCAGGGTGACTGCTGAGGAAGCCACAGGGCTTCCCGGGGAGAAGTCCACAGAGCCCCGCTGAGCCCCGCGGTGCTGGAGGCCTGGGAAACTCGACACCTCCAGCTGCTCTTCAGTGTTTTTCTGCAAAGCCTCCTCGAAGCGTCTGGCTCGGTCCCGCAGAGACTGGCTCTGGAAGGTCAGCGTGTCCACCTGGTCCTGCAGTAATGACACAAGGAGTCCAGCTCGGTCCTCTGCGGACACAGCAGCCTGGGGAGCCCTGATGACGGCCTGTGCACACGCCATGGGCATCAAGCTGAGGCAGGTGCTCCACATGGTGTGACAGACCTCCCACGTCAGCCTCGCTCGTGTTCCAGCTGGGGTTCTCGCTGCCCCACCCCCACTTTACAGCCCAGCTCTCCCACCGGCTCCATCCGCCAGCTCCCTCTCTTTCCAGGGTCACTTCTAGCTCCTCGTGGTCTCCCTGGGCCTCAGGACTGGGGTGCAGGTCCCTGATGTGAGCTGAGGCTGTCCTCCCTTTTTAAGCCATCTGTCCCCTCAGTTTAGACCTTCTGTTTAGACCAGTGATGGCGAACCTTTTGAGCGCGGCGTGCCAGCATTTTGAAAAATCCTAACTTAACTCTGATGCCATGTCACATATAGAAATTTTTTGATATTTGCAACTATAGTAAAACAAAGACTTCTATTTTTGATATTTATTTTTATATATTTAAATGCCATTTAACAAAGAAAAATCAACCAGAACAATGAGTTCTCGTGTCACCTCTGACACGCGTGTCATAGGTTCGCCATCACTGGTGTAGACCAGCCGTGGGCAAACTACATCCCGCAGACCGGATCCGGCCCGTTCGGCTGTTCTATCTGGCCCGCGGAGCCGAAAGAGCGGAGGGTTCTCCTGCTCTCCCCTCCGCTCCTTCACCAGCAGCAGTGTTAACATGGCAACGTCGGGAAACACGGCTGCAGCTCCTTCTTCTGAGTCCAGTTTAAGAACCCATCGTGGCCCTCGAGTCAAAAAGTTTGCCCACCCCTGGTGTAGACCATGCTCCTGGCCCCCAGCACACACCAGCCACAAGGCAGCCCTCCGTGTGCCGGCTGACAGAAGGTGTGTCTGAGGGGGCACCACACTCCTTCCCTGGCTCACCCCTCCCTGGCAACCCTAGCAAGGACTGATCATCAAAGTTCTCTACCCAATGATACCATTTCCGTAACATTAGAACCTACGGAATTTCAATGAACTCTTCTCTCAAGAGAAATGGCCTCATCCCAGCCGACACAAGGAGCAAGGAGCAAGGTATTGTAAATTATGGAATTGTACAGAGTAACACTGTAATGTATGAGGTGCCTGGCGTGACTGCTTTCTTCAGCATGGCAGACAACCGTTTGGCAAACCAGCCTTGGTTTTTTTCTTGTCCTCTTTTTTTGTTTCTTTGTTTCCAGTTACTCCTATTTCATCTTAAATAACAAAAGCCCCCACAGTGCCATTAAAAGCAAAGGCTGGGTATTAGGGCAATGCAGTAGTCAGTGGGAGCCTGTACCCACAGGCCCTGGCGACGTAGGCAGTGGTGCTCTGGAACCTGACTACCACACCCCGGGTGCCTCCACAGGCCGCGCGAGGCACCAGCTGTGTCAGTGCCTTCAGAGGTTGCATTTCTTTCAAGCCTCTCCTCCTCCATCAAAAAGCAGAACAGCAAAAGCACATCAGGCAAATACCACCTAGGATGGACCTCAAATATCAAACTGGTGTTTCTGCCGCATTCACCTGACTCAACACCAACCCACAGGCCCACGCGGTGCGCCGCAGTCACACGGCACAGGCTGCTTCCAATTGGATTGGCTCCTGTATGTCAAGGGTGAGGCCCTGAACCGGCCCCTTAGGAGCTAACCAACCGCATGATAACAATAGTGAGGATGATAAAAATAAATACAACAGCCCTGACTGGTTTAGCTCGGTGGATAGAGCATCGGCCTGCGGACTGAAAGGTCCCAGGTTCCATTCCGGCCAAGGGCATGTACCTTGCTTGCGGGCACATCCCTAGTAGGGAGGTGTGCAAGAGGCAGCTGATCGATGTTTCTCTCTCATGGATGTTTCTAACTCTCTATCCCTCTCTCTTCCTCTCTGTAAAAAATCAATAAAATATATTAAAATAAATAAATAAATATAACAAATAATAACATTAGCCACGATCAGAACAGCAAGAGCTGCTGCTTATTAGCATTTGCCAGGAACCAACCTGGTGCTGCGCACTTTACACACGTGACTCCTCGCGGAAGGTTCCGTCAGCACCGTTTCACAGACGGGTAACCAAGGCTCACGGAGCTCACGTATTGCCCAAGGTTTCAAAGCTAGTAAGCGGGGGCGCCATGGGATTTAAGCCCGAGTTCAAATCTCTTACCACAAGCCTGCTTCTCCAGCTGCCAGCCACTGGAGGCAGTTGGCTCTAGCAGCTCCACCCTCCTTGTACCAAATAACCTCCCGCCCAAATGGGTTCTGTCTGCTACAGGGTGTTGCCCGTGGGATGGCGGGGGCGGAATGAAGACTCACTCACGGGTGAAACAAAACCTTCTCTGCGGTTTGGGGCTGGTGGGTTTCTGTTACACCACAGTCTGGCTTTCCCTTTCCGGGCGTGCGTTCCTGAGGACAGCGCACCTGATGCTGTGAGAGGGATGCATGAGGAAGGCAGTTTGGGGTAAATTTGCCGAGGATGAGCCCGTGAGGACTGCGTGTTGCAGGCCCGTTGATGGGCGGGTGGTGGGCTTACCGCAGACTGTTTCCTGATTAGATTAAATGTGGAACAGCACACTGAGTAGTGTGACATTGGTGTCACAAGCATGGGTGCTTGCGTAGGCAGGGCCGCCTCTGCGTGATGCATGCTGCCAGGGGAGAGTCAGCGGTCAGAGGCAACACTCCTGGCTTTGTGTTACTTATGGTAATCAATGGGCATTCGTTGTTATTGTCATCACAATGTCCAGGTGTGAGTGTCCCCAGTATTTAAAAATTAACCTTGCTCTGATTGAGATGCCACAGCTGGGAACGGAAGCACCCTAGCTTCCCGGGCAGCTCCTCCCTGGGGCTGTGGGGGGCCATCATCTTTCCCCAGAGCAGCTGGCAGGGTCTCTGGAAGGAGGAGGGGGGTGCAGGTGAGCTGGGGCCCCTTCAGAAGGAAGCCAGGCTGCTCGCTGGCATGAGACCCACATGTCGTGTAGGTTGGCAGTGGAGGCAGGGAAGGTTCTCTCCGCCTCACCCACCTCCAGGTGATTGAAGTCCTTTGTTTTAATCCCAGACATGCCCTATGGCTTCTGCCCTTCGCAGCCCCCCTTACACCACGCCCTGCCTAGCATGTGCTTCTCCCAAGTCCCTTTCCTCACACACAGCGCGGTGACTCCTCTGACCACAGCAAGTGTGGCTCCACCTTGGATCTCCGTGGCACTCATTGACAGTAGTATTCCCTTGGTGCAAGAATGTGCTACCTTTGGTGGGTGTCTGTCACTCTTTCTGCCACCACCCTCTGAGTAGACAATAAATTCCTTAGGGCAGGGGAACGTCTTATCTCCCTCTATATCCCAAATGTTTGTGGACAGGACTAACGGTGCTGCCATTAGCTTGACTGCAGGGTTAAGGAGATACTAACCTGTAATGACAGCCGCAGCTTTTCAAAACTGTCTTCCAATTCTTTCTTTTCAAGATCATGGGTAGACATCAATTCTGGAGAGAAGACATCGGATTGTTAAGTTAGCCTTTCATCTGAAAAGGATCAAACAAGACTCTTGCCAGACTAAATGAGAAACGGGTGAATAGGGACACTGGTATACAGCAGACTTGAGCCTAAAGAGACCTCTCCATTACTTTGGAATTGTATGCAGTGTTATTTAGAAGAGAAATAAAGAGGGAGGGAATAGGAGAAAGAAAGAGAAACAGAGGGGGAAGTAAATAGAGCGCACACACACTCATTTCTATACCCCGCTCTCCCACCATCCGGGACAAGTCAGCTCCTCCATCCACGGTCCAAGCAACTTGGTTGGTTCTCCAAGTTTTCCTAATGGGAAAGCAACTGGGTGATCAATATTCAGTCTCCATCTCCTTCCCATCCCAGGGCTACTCTTTCTTTCCACCACAAAGCAGCCATCTGGCCGCAGGAGGGAGCTTTCAGAGAGCTGAGCTGTGAGCAGCCTCCGTGCTGCCTGGGCTCGCTGGAGAGCAACGGGTGAACAGGGCAAGCGCTGTGTCTGTGAGGCCTTTGAGCCACACTCTGAAAACCACAGATCTCTAGGGTTTGCTTGAGCAAAGAGTCCTATGAAGACATTCAGACAGAAAGGAGGACTAATTGGATTGGTTCCTCTTGGAGAGTTTGGAACCATTCTATTCTAAGCAAAGTGTCATTCCAGTAATAATTTGCAAGTGAGGCAGAAAGAGATGTCATGTAAGACTTATTAAACAAATGGATTCTCTTTTCCTCCAGATGGGAACAGTCTGATTAACTGGGTGAAGCCCATATCATTCTGGCTACACAAGCAATTTGTTTGCATGTTATAACTGGAGGGAGGAGAGGTCTCATTAATCAGCCTGGGTCACACATGCTTCGGACAGGAGAGTACTAGAGACCAACAATTATCATTCTGGCTGGCCAGAGCTGCAATTAGGAAAAGCTTTTGGTTTCCATTGATCCAAATCGTTGAACTAATAATGGAGAAGGTCTCTAAGAAATCTAGTTGTTATAACTCAAATTTACATTTGGAAAAAATTAATTTGTGCTGATTGAATTAAGATAAAGCTATGTGTCTTTCTGTCTAAATGATTGGTTTTAATAGCCATTGAGCACATTGTCCTGACCATAATAATGAATGTTTTTGCTACTATTATATCTACTATATATAATGCAAAGGCCTTCGATGCGACATCTAAGCAAGGCTTTGCTAGTGAGAAAAATCTGCCAGGTCTATTTTATGAAAATCCAGCAACAAAAGGCAACAGTGTGGCTCACTGCATCATTTCCACTCGCATTCCCACTCAGAGACTGTTTTTCTACAGCCCAGCGATGGGCTTTAGGACATTCAGATGACCCCAATACCCCAAGAGAGAGGCAGGCCGTATCTATCCTGGACATGGTATACACCATGCCTGACAACTGTGTACCCATAACATACTTAATTATTTTGAGGTCATAACACTCTGCCCCACACCCAACACTGTGCTCTAAGACAATGGTTCTCAAAATGTGCTGCATATTAGAATCACCTGGGGAGCCTTAAGAAGCCCTGAAGCCTGGGCTGCACCCAAGAGCAATTAAAGTGGAATTTCTGAGGTGGGATTTACTCATCCGTGTTGTTGTTTTTTAACTCCCAGGTGGTCCCAATGGGCAGCCCAGGGTGGGAGCTGGCACATGTGCTGTTTCTGCCCCAGACGTCTTTGCTGCCAACATTTTTCTGTACAGCTAATTGGCTATAAGGCTTCTTTTCTGTAAACAGATAAAATAACTGGTTGGTAGTTTGGGGTTTGGGGTGTTGTTCAGTTTCATTTCTCCACTGATGATTCTCACTGTTACTCCCATCTTTATATTCTATGTAAATGTTAGCGAGCCCTCATAATGGTCTATGTAGGGACGAGTGGACACGTGGTGGTAGTCTTAAAACAGTTAGCATTTCTTCCAGGTGAGATGACCCGTCCAAGAGTCGGTTTATTATTTTGGAACAGTGCATTGGGAGGAGAAAGGGAGGCCAAGTGTCCTCATGAATTCTCCTAGAAGAAGACAAGTCCTTAGGTTACATCTACAAAATAAAATCAGTTATTTGAGCAGCATTGCTATGAATCTATACATATTTTAAATGAAGGCTTACTTTTGTTATTCCTTTTTTATGTTTCATTAGGTCATTTTTAATGTCCCTCTATTTGTAGTGATTTTATCTTTTTTATCGCAAAATTGCCTTGGAAAGGTGTGTCCACCGAGACTGCTGTTTAATTGTGTGAGGCCCAGACAGACCCGGGGTTTCCACGCCTACGTGACACCGGTGGTTCTTAAGCACGACGCCCTGTCAGACTCCTCCCAGGAGCTTTATACAATCTTGATGCCCAGCTGCACCCCAGACCAGCTGCCTGGGGGCCCGGAGTGGACCTAGACGGGCACCAGCCTCTAATCACAGCGCCCAGGGATTCCAACATCCAGGCAAGGTTGAGAGTAACTGCCGCAGAGGAAAGAAGTGCTACCTGGATCCTGGTTTTGCATCTTTCCTTTCCACAGCAAGCAGCACAGAGAACACATCAGGAACAAAAGGAAGGAAGAAAGGAAAGTGGGACAAGCGAGCAGGAGGTGCTCCTTGTGTCTGCAGCAGGAGGTTGGGCCGGCTACACACCCTGCCGGCCACACACATCTAGGATGGTAGCTACCTTGGACTTTGTGGTCGTGGTCATCCTGCAGGATCGCGATGGCCACCGTGTGGTTATTTTCCATCTCTAGGAGAGCAGCCTCGTGGCTGGCGGTGATATCTTCTACCTGCGGGAGAACCACAGTGACCGTTATGCGGGACGGACAGGTGGCAGTGATATCCTCACTGCCTGGAGAACAGAGATGGAACTCACAGAGTAGAAAGGTCAGTGGTCCAAAACGCAAGGAAAAGTCATTCTGCTGCGGTGACAGCCACCCTCATCCTGTGTGGAGGCAGGGGAGCCAGGATTTGGTGGGGATAGGGCAGCCCCTGGAGGCAGGCTGTCTGCAGGAGGGTGGAGGCTCCTGTGGGAATGGCTGCGTGAGCCCCGTCTTTACCATCCGGGGCCTGGCTTTGGACCATCCACTGCCCACTCCCATTCCTTCCCCTCACACCGATCACTCTGGTGATGATGACTCAGGAAAAGAGGAGGGACCTTCCTTCTAGATGGTCTGTTCTGCGCTCCAGCGGCAGGTGGGAGCCACAGTGCACAAGGTACTGGAGGGAACTAACGCTTACTAAGCTACCTGCTACCAGCTACTCAGCTTACCCCTCCTAGCACATTGTAAAGGAAATACTTATGTCCATCTTATAGGAAACTGAGGCTTAGAGAGTTGGAAACATTTGCCCAAGTCCCAGTAAGGGGCAGAGCCAGCAGTCGGCCCAGGTCTGTCTGACTGCATAGGCGAAGCTCCATCAAACACACCCCTGCTGCCTTCCCAGCAAGAGCAGCAACGAGTGCCCGAGGAGCCTCTCACCAAGGCCATGGCAGCCGAGTCCTAGCCATCAGCTTGCAATCTGGGCCTCCCGTCCAGCATGCGAGGCTGCAGTCATTTCCAGGACTTTAATCACAGGGAGCACAGCTAGCCTAGGATTTTTCACTTCCACTCTTCCTGATCTCCGCCCCTGCCCCCCACCACCAACACATGTACTGTTTTTGTTATTTTGTTGTTGTGCTGTTGTTTTTAACTTCACATGTATGACTTACAGGAGTAATTGCCTAAAACGGCCTCTCCCCATGCTAGCAAACCGGAAGTGCTTTTCCAAATTCTTTGTCAGCCACCATTGCAAAAAATACTACTGTACATTGTAACACAGCGCACAAGCACAAACTAAAGTGTCAAAAAACAATACTTTCCCCTCCTACTTGCAATAATCTGTTTTTTAAATTTTTATCTACTAATGTGTCAAAACCTAGTGTTTGAGGAACACTGAAGCAGGAAGTGTGCCCAGGTCCTGAAGCTCCGTGGTGGACCAGTTAAACATACTGCTTCTAGCTGGTACTATTCAGCCAGGGTCCTTTGTTCCTCAGGGGACAATTCCCAGGCCGACCTTTGGTCTGAAAGGAGGAAGGGCTCTCCTCAGGAAAGGAAGCCCATGTGTGGAGTGGATGCGTGCGAGTATTTTTGTTTTAAAATGGGGTAGATTTTCACTCCGGGTACTATAATTGCATGGGAAAATTTCCTGACTTTCCTCTCCTAAGGTAAAAGAGAACTTCGTCCATGAAAACAGAAATACCACTGGCAAAACCAACAATGAACTCCACAGTGTTCGGATAGCTGCATCACATTTTTCAAACGAACATGATATACAATGATTCACTTTTATTCACTGGCCATCCTTTTTTTTTTTTTAAAAAAATGTTTTTATTGATTTCAGAGAGGAAGGGAGAGGGAGACAGAAACATCAATGATGAGAGAGAATCATTGATTGGCTGCCTCCTGCACGCCCCCTACCGGGGATTGAGCCCACAACACAGGCATGTGCCCTGACTGGGAATGGAACCATGACCTCCTGGTTCATAGGTCTATACTCAACCACTGAGCTATACCAGCCAAGCTTACAGGCCATTCTTGATGAAACTATGTTTTACTTAAGGCTCAGACCTATAACTCCATTAATCAGAAAAGCTGATTACCACAGTACATAATTGTCCAATTCCTTTTTATATGAGGTTTTCATAGAATCTTCACCCAAGGCATTTCAGTCTCTTGAAAAAATAAATCACTGGTTAAAAAAAATACAAGTATATATTTTTTCTGCTTCCCTACTGTATCAGTTGAGCCAAGATCACCCTGTCTGCAGACATAGGTCTCCACACATTATCTGGATGCTTGTTACCCAGTTCAGTTTGAAGAAAAATCTTTGATCAGTCCTTGGTGTGATTCTAATTTATTGCCTCTGACACAAATTACCATATTCCAGAAGAGTCCCCTGTGTCCCTGGCTGAGAAGACGCCCTGTCAGGCAATATGACATTATGTCTGAAGCTGAACATCACCCTTCTGGTTTGTTGGGAGGCAGGTCTGTGATTTAATGGTGACTCAATCCCATGCTCAATATAGGAAGCCTGATGTACGGGCACGGTCTCTCTGTTACAGCCACTCACAGGTGCTTTTATGAGTGAAATACGGATCCCCTAACTCTGAAAGGCCATATGCAACAAGAGGAAACCAGTATGAACCAATGAGCCAAGATTTGGGCGTAAGAATCCTTGCTCTTCAGTAAAGTTCCTATACATCTTTATGTTTTTGGAAGACTGTTCCCTCTCTGGGGAAGGAGCTGTTCACTATCGGCCATCCTCTTCTTGTCAGAGAATTAACCCCCATGACTGCTCCTCCGGGGCCCCTGGCTTCTTCCCAGGGCATGGCCTCACACTCCGAAGCGGCCAGTGAGATTTCAGCCTGAGGACACCCTGAAACCCGCTGCAGGCATTTGAAGGGATTCAGACAAGTTGATGGAAGGAAAACATCAGATCATTGATTCATTGTCAGTCCACGGCAGGCTTAGGCGGGAGGAAGCATCCTTCTCTTGGGGCCTTAAGCCACTGCTGGGTCACTCCTTCCTTCTCCAGGACGACGGAGCTCGGGCTGCGCACGGAGCAAGAGTCTGGCTACGCCCTCCGCTAGCCCCGTGGTGTGGAGAACCAGCTGTTCCGGGGCAGGCTCCATTCTGCAGGGGCTTGCATTTCTGCTGGGCTGAGCAACAGCACAGCAAAGGGTCGGAGAGCCGCCCTCTGGATGGGTAAGATGCAGCTGTGGGCTTCCTTACTCAGCCATTTGCAACACACAACTATCTGAGGCTTTGGCCATTCCCTGAGAGACAACTTACATTTAGAATGAAGATGCATGTGCTCTGTATCATCTCAGCTTTACTCATTAAACCCAAATCAGATTAACTTCCCATCTACTCTCATCCCAGACACACATCCCTGTCTGGTGGGACAGAGGGGGCTGCCCATGTTCACTCTCTCCAGGGTTCTCTTACGGACTTTCCTTCCCTTCGGCGCCTGCTTACATAGCCTGGGTAGCTGCTTACTCAGGGTGGGCAGCTAGCCATCCCAGAGCACCCAGTCCCACTCCATCCCTTTCCAGGATGTGCCTGCTGCCCCCACTGCAGCCCACCCATGAGCAGGAGTTCAGGCGGCCCCCACCTTCCCACAGCGCCTCCTCCCGGGGTACTGAGACTCTGGGCTGTGCTGGGCGGGGCTCTGGAGCTGGAAGACTGAGGGTCTCTGGAACCTCCTTCTGTTTGAGGGCCTGTGGCTTCTGCTGGTGGCAGCTGTGCGCCTGTCACAGGAGGACTAAGGAGATGTAATGCCAGAGGATGAACCAAGTGGCCTCTGTATGTTCTCATGAAGTGCAGGATGCGGAGGCTGCCAGCTAGTCTGAAAGGGCGCTTTCCTTCAGAAAGGGAGAAAGGACGTCCTGAATCCAAGACAAAGCAACGTAAAGGCCGAGGAGGAGCACTGCTTCCCCCGGAGGGGAGGGCGCCTCTGCTCAGACTTCATTGAGCAGAGTCCACAGCGACTTCAGGGCCAGGTCAGGGAGGAGGACACAAGGCCACAGCGTCGTGGAGGAATGGGGTCAAAGGTCACATAATTGACCATTGAATGTGAGGCTCTGTGGCTGAGCATCTTTGGGAAACAGTAGACAGCCCAGAGAGGACAACTGGAAGGCACTGTGTTTGAGCAAAAGGGGGCAAGCCTGTGTATTTTCAGTGAAAATCCGTTTTGTGTGCTTCGAGGTGGGGGCTCTGGCAGTTTGGCTTCTATTCATGCGGAGCTAGCTATGGCACACGTGCTGATTTTGATTAAACACCTTATGGTCATTTTGAAATAAAAATCAGGCCCAATCTTTATCGGCACTTAAGGAAGTCTGGAGGCCGGTGTCGGGGGCCACTGCATTTCAGGTCAGGCTGACGAACAACCCGACCCACCAGCTGTTCTGATGCAGTTACCGTGGGGTGAGGATGAGGAGGGTGTTTTGCCACACGTTCCCCAGTGACTCCCATGTGCGGGCAGAGGCGAGCGGACGGCTGGATTTGTCGGAGGGAGACCCTGCAGCAGTCAGAGGTGCACGTGTCTCAGCGCACGAGCTCCCAGCCTGAGCGAAGCCGCAGGAGCTCCTGCGCTGCTGGTGTGGGGCGCTGGGCGGCCAGAGGCCGGGTTGGTCGACTGTGAAGCTGGTGGAGCACAGCTGCGGACAGATGTCACTCTCCATAGGGTCAGCATTGCCAAATGCAAATTGTCCCCGATAAAGAAGCCTGAGGGTGGGTAGTCCGAGCTGGAGAGCTGAAACCACAGACCTCAGAACTTCCCATCGCAGCCGTGCACTGAGTTTCCTGCACAGAGCGAACGCGGATTCTACTGCATGAGAACTGGCGATGTCCCTGCCTCGCCTCCCTCACTGCCTGCACTCTCTCTGCTGGCCGTGGGGGGGGGGGGGGGGGCGGCGGTGAGGGGGGGGCGGCTGTGGTCAGGCTGGCCGCCCATGCTCCGCAGCAGGGGCCAAGTCAGGCCTGAACGAGTCACAGGTTTCAATCATCCATCCCTCCAGCCAGTGGGTGTCTGCAGCAGGTTTACTCAGACCTACAGCACTGGGGTGTTAGTTCTACCAGAAAATGTTCCCTGTCTTCACAGCTGGAAGTAAACTCTCAGTTCCTAAGCACGTCTCTGCTGCTCACCCAGGATCAGTTCCCTCAGAACTTCCCTGGCGATCGCCTGAGGCATGGGTCAAGCACGCCCACGGTTTATAAATCTGGGCGTCTCTGGCAGGGCCCTGACGTGTGCCCGGTGTGCAGTGGGCACTCCAGATATTCCTGGCCTAGGTGAATGGGTAACTAGATTCGCTTTAGTGAATAAGGATCAAGAAGAACAGAACTCAGAGGCCTCATAAGGTAAAGCCCTTTTTAAATGCTCACAGGTAGCTTCTGCAACTCATTCTCAATGTCAGGCCTCCTTTCCCTCAATCCCTCAACACGAAAGCTCCGAAACGCTGCTGTGTCCCAGCTTAAAGGCGAGGTGAGGGCTCATCTCCCGGCTGTGCTTCTGCTCACAGGACGCTGAGGGCGCTCTGCCCGCGCCGAGCCCCACCGGTGGACAGGCTCTGCCCAGCAGTGGCCTCAGCTGCGTGGTTTCCAGACACGGCACTGAAAGGGAGCTTTCACTCCGAGGGCCCCTCGAAGCACCCTCTCCTGCCTGGCAGCCACCTCCTGCCCTCCCTCCCACCTCTTGGCACCTTCTCAGCCAATCCAGAACTTTGGACCAGAAGTCTCTTCGTGGACACAGGTATAAACACGTTCTCTGTGCAAAACTGGGAGCGAATGGCCCAGGGATACAGAGGCTCAGAGCCGCTATCTGCACCGGGTTGGGGATGTATCCAAGGGCCATGCTAGCACTGCAGACAGCGCAGGACAAACGTCTGCTTACAGGGGTTATGCTCTGCGAGCTCAGGAGGCAAGATGCTGGAGACCTGGCTCTAACATTAGCACCAGTGTGACTTTAGCCGTAACCTATTCTGTTTCCTGGTCTGTAAGTCTAAACAACCTTAAGCAGGCAGGTGTGTCTGGTTTCCACAGAAAAGATGCTGAATGGAATAAAACGTGTCAAATGGGAGATTTTTAATGACAACAATGGTGCTTATTATTACTCTGGAATTCTCCTTGTGCCCATTAGGCTCACAAGCCTCTGGGGACCGTCACCGTCCAGGGTGTCCACTTGGAGGCAGTGGGAGGGGGGCAGCCTGAGACTTAGCGTGCTCTTTGCAAATGCCATTAGCAGGCCACAGGAAACAATGCACCACTTAGAAGGCGGGTATTAAGGCAACAGAGCTTTGGGGACTTAGAAAGAGGAGAAAAGAACAGAGCAGAACTGGTTCTCATGGAAGCAGCGTCTCCGGTCAGCGCCCACAGTGATGGACAAGGAGGCTCCCGCTCCTGCCTGCTGCACCTGACGGGCTCCCTGGGAACATTCTCTACTCATTCCAGATGAATCGCTCTCTCTAGTAAGACCTCTGGGCCAATGGACACAGACAGTAGGGGAGTGAGGGCATGTGCTGGGGGGTGGAAGTGGCTGGGGAGAGGTCAATGGGGGGAAAAAGAGACATATGTAATACTTTCAACAATAAAGAATTTATATTAAAAAATAATGCATTTAACTGCAAACAAACAAACAAACAAACAAAAAAACTTCTGGGCCAGCTAGTGGCAGTCATGCTTTTATTTGGCAAGTTCAAACCTACGACCTACTCTGTGCAGGCACATTCAGGTACCAAAATTCTAGCAGTAAGCCTGGCAGACAGTTCTCTCTTGGTGCTTGAGAGGATGGCCATGAAGTGTCTAGAGCAGTGGTTCTCAACCTTCCTAATGCCGCGACCCTTTAATACAGTCCCTCATGTTGTGGTGACCCCCAACCATAAAATTATTTTCGTTGCTTCTTCATAACTGTAATGTTGCTACTGTTATGAATCATAATGTAAATATCTGATATGCAGGATGTATTTAGGCGACCCCTGTGAAAGGGTCATTTGACCCCCAAATGGGGTCGCGACCCACAGGTTGAGAACCGCTGGTCTAGAAGGAGAACTTTCTAGGCAGGAAGGAGGAGCACACTCAGCAGAACAAGGAGAGGGAGGCCAGAAAGGCAGGAGGGGAGGAAAGGAGGCAACAGAGGAAGAAATGAAATCAGAGAGGGAACTTTACAAGTAGCTCACCTGTGGACAGGATTCCGGGCTCAAGTAGCATGGCTCCCCTCCACCTTCCACCTGCACATCCCAACAGCAGAGACAGAGCGCAGCACAAACACATACCTGCTCTTGGTGCTGACACCGGATCCGCAGCAGCTGGGCGCTGTGCTCCTCCTGAAGGCGCGTCATCTCCGCCTGGAACTGCAGCTGCAGCCGCCCCTGCAGGTCCTGGAGCTCGGCCTGCTGCTGCCAGCCCAGCTTCCTCACCTCGTCCTCAAACCGCCTCTCCAGCTCTTCCTTCTCCTTCTGTAGTTTCTCACACCTGGCTGTGTTGAAGGCTGGGGACAGAACAGCATCTTTGTGAAAATTGGAGAAGAGGCACCAGGAGGTTTCAGCATCCACGGTAGAGCATCAAGGTTAGTGTCACAACCGGGGCAAGACCCTCTTGCTTTGGAAGAGCCTCACAGCCTGTAAAGGGCTTTCCCATCTACTGCACTGCACGTGTGGGGAAGCCCGAGGTCGCCTGCTGTGGATAGAAAGGACTGTGGAGGCAAACTTGGGCTTTCTGACTGCCAGCCCCATGGTCCTGCCACTAGAGCAGGGCTCCTCTGAGGGCCCACAGACCATGGGCATCAACATCATTGGGGGTTTGTCCGGCAGGGACTCTCCCAGGCACACGCTGGGTGGGTCAGGGGCCCTGGGGAAGCAGCCCAGGACCTAAACGTTTCATAAGGTCTCAGTGGGTGACTCCTCTGCCCGTTGGGCTCGAGAGACCTGTGCATTCCTGGGAGCTGAGACGGGACAGGCGAAGCGCCAGGTTAAAGGCTGTTCTCCCCAGGCTGAAATGCTGAACTGGACATTCACAGAGGAAGTTCGGGTCTCCATTCAGGGACCTGAGGCTGCACAGTAACCAGCAATACCCCCTGGCATAGGCTGCCTCCCGGTCCCCGGCCTGGGGCGCTTCCCAGGCCGCCAGCAGAGGACAAGCCAATGACAGCAGCCACTGACCCACTGGTTCTTCGCATCGGTGCCTCCCCTGGGCTGTGGGCAAGAGGACTGCGATCATTTGCAAGATCTCTGTCTCAGCTGCAAACTGCTTCCATGAGGAGAAAAGCACCTCGGCAATCTACTATGTTTAGGTCAAGGGGTGCTGATTTTCACTCGCAGGGCACAGACGTCCAGGTGCAGGCACAGGTCATTACGGCCCACAAGGACGGTGCTGCCACGCTCGCCTCCTGTGTGCATGCGCAGAAATCACCACTTACTTCAAAATCGAGTGAGCAGGTCGGGCTGGTTGGTGATAACCTGCACTCCAGGGGTGCTTGGCTATGGTCAGACATATACGTCCACGGTAGTTAGGCTTTGAAACACCCTGATCAGAAGTCCCGCCTTAAGGATGAGCTAATTCAAGGGCTACTTGGCCACATTTGGCACTAAAAAAGTTTGTTAATCAGCACATGGGATGCTTCAAAGTATTTTCCCCCTGATGTAATGAGTGGGTTGATGGATAGGCACCTTGCCCTTGGACAGCGCAGCAGCCTAACACTGCCCCCAGTGGTCTTTTTGGCCAATTGCCCCAGTGTCCCATGCCCCACTCTTGTGTGGGGGAATCTGATCCACATCTGAAGTTGTGATCAGGATCTGCTACTGTAACCAGGTGAACAGAGGGGCGGGTGCTGGGTGCTGCTTCCCCCGGGGGTAGGCAGTAAGCGGAGGCACTGTTGCGGAGAATTTCAAAGCCATAATCACCGGCTTGAATTGCCACCTCATGTCAGCAATTCTAAAGACTGTTGGTGAAAAATACTCCTCAGAACAGTCCTTTGTTGGTCTGCATCCTAAACAATTGCTACAATTACCGTTGAGGTTTTTAACAATAATTTTCATATTTTAAAAAGATCACAGAGAAAACTTGAAAGTATGGCCCGAGGACATACTTGTACAAATAACCTTCCCTCCCCCGACCCCCGGATCATTTGAGAGTAATATGCTTGACCTGCCACCAACCCCAAATTCCTTAGTATATATATTCCCTACCAACAAGGACCTTCTCCATGATCGTAATTCAGTCGTCAAAGTCAGGGAGTCAACATCGATCCAATAGCGCCACTGATGCTCAGGCCCACGTAAGTCCCACTGATGGTCCTAATAATGTCCTTTCCATGAAAAGTCCTGAACCAAGTCCTGTCTCCTTGCTCTCCTTTTGTCTAGGACAGCCCTCAGCCTTTCCTTTGCGTTCAGGCCCTAGACACCTTTAAAGGAGACAGGCCAGCTGTTCCCTAGAAAGCCTCTCATTCGGTGTCAAAGAAGTGATGTTGTGTGTACTCTTTTCATTTGAATGTTGATGCATTTTTTTATGTTTTTAAATGTTATTTTATTGTTTAAGGTATTAAAAATAGTAGTACATATGTTAATATGTTAATGCATTTTTAATTGTTTATATAGATTCAGGAAAATCATGCTTAGTATAATAATCATCATTGCAGGATTATACTGGAAATGATTTTGTGGTTACAAAAGGTCTGGCCTAGGTTTCAAATATGTTAAATATGATATAGATATTATTGTCACAGGCCTGAGGTGAGGGGCAGATTGCTGGGAGTACACTGGGCTTCCCACCACAAGCAGTATAACAGCATCTTGCTGGCTTACTAATAAATAGGGACGTGATTAGCAGAGTCAGCTGAGGCTTTCGATACCTGGTAGTGTGGTCATTGTGGGGGTCAGCATCCTCCTCTACCTCTGACCACTGGAGGCTACAGTCCCTATGAAAAGAACCCACAGACCGAAGTGGCTCAGGCCTGGTGGCAGGGGTGTGGGATGCCAGGGCAGGTTTCTGGGTGTCTGGGCCTCTTCGGAGGGTGCTTTTGTTTTTGTAACCATGTTAACTGACTCATAGTGTTCCCCCCCGCCCCGCCCCATGTAGTGTATCATGCCATGGTCAATGGGATCAAAATAAAACAATGACAACAATATGTCCTCTGTGTTTAAAATAGGTCTGCAATGCAGTGCCCTGAGAGGAGACACACATGGCCAGGAAGCACGAGAACAGATGGCTAGCACCATTCATGATAAAATACATGCAAACTGAAGCAACACATTTTTTAAATCTAAAAGACCAATAAAAATGAAATACTCTGGTAATATAGGAAGGGTCTGAGGAAACTCACATTCAGTGGACTATTGGTGGGAACACAGTTGATACGCTGCTTTGAGGGCACAATATCTTTAAAAATGTCAATGAAAGAATTGGTGTCCTGGCCAGTGTGGCCTAGGGTTAGAGCATCGACTCATACACCAGAGGGTCTCAGGTTTGCTTTCCGGTCAAGGGTACGTTCCTGGGTTGCAGGTTTGATTACCGGACTTCAGGGTGCATGTGGAAGGCAACCAAACCAATTGATGTGTCTCCCTAACCTCTCTCTCTCTCTCTCCTCCCTCCCTCCCACCCTTTCATTCTCTCTAAAAATCAATGGAGAAAATATCCTCAGGTGAGAATTAACAACAACAACAAAAAAATAAAAATAAATGGTAGGATTTGTAGCCTTAGGGAGTGACAACTAAACAGTATGGGATTTCTTTTTGGGGGGTGATGAAAATGTTTCAGAATAGATTGTAATGACAGTTTCAGAACTCTATGGATACACTAAAAACCATTGAGTTGTACATTTTAGATGGATAAATTATATATAGTACATGAATTATATCTTACAGTTTTTTTACAAAAAAATGAAAATTTAAAAATAACATGACAAAAAATGACTTAAAGGATAAATTTAGATTTTTTTAGAGAAGGAAAACTCATCTTATTATTTAAAACTCTACACAACAGTGGTAAAAACATATGATGGCAAAATAAAACAAAAATGAAAACCTTATCACTATGCTGTTTCACACACACACACACACACACACACACACACACGGATATAGGCAGAATCTAATGGGACCAAAGATGGAATAAAACAGATAAAAAGATTATAAAATGAATAAAAATAAATCAGCTACATTGAAAAAAATAACATGAAGGTTTTAACACAAGTGCATACAAGAACATTTGGTCAAGAGTTACTACAATGTGATTTGCCTTAGGGAACTATTGGAAAGTTAGTTAAATAAATGATAATGAATCCAATATACAGGAGTGGGCAAAAGTAGGTTTATAGTTATAATACAAATAAATAATAATACAAGAATAAACTCTGTGCTTCACACACTCACAACTGTAACCCCACTTCTGCCCACCCTATACATATAGAACAAATCCTATACATAATGGGCTATAGGGAACCAGTAAAAAAAATAAGGTAAAAATTTTTTTTTGTGATATAATGGAATGATTTCTGTAATACATTATTAAACAGAAAAGGCAAGGTACAGAAATAGTATGCTTCCATAGTTCTATTTGTAATGGAAATGTATTTATCTTTCTGTCTCTCCTCCCTCAGGAGCTTGTGTGCCTGTTACAGGACTCATTGCCCGGTGGACACCTGCAAATATATATATTTAACAACATTCTATTGTTGGTTCACATGCTTTACGAGTAAAAACCATTTTTCACATTACTACCATAATGAAGGAGAGATGGGGTTTGAAAAGGTTATAGTATCTGGAGGTCAGAGATGCCCTGACTCTTCTCTATCTCCTGCGATTTTAGTTATGTCAGTGGCAGGATGATTCATGGGCCTGGCTCCCGATCTGGGGGCTGGGAGGCCATTGCTTTTCATCCTCGAGCTGCCCCTGAATGTGCTGCTCCCTTAAATAAATCAGGAGCAGTAGAGGCCTGTTTCGTTGCCTCTAAATTGGCAAAGTAATCCTTTTTTTTTTACATATAATCCCCTTTTTTAGATATAGCCCCAATCTCCAAATTCCCAACTGCTATTATGTATAAGAGAGGTGATGATCTCCACCTGATGACCCCATGCTAAGCCCCAGGCCTGCAGAAGATACTGGATAAGAAGAGCAGCTGGGGCCCCAAGGGGAAGAGCTCTAATAACAGAGTCCCTCAAGAAATAAATATCCTCTTGCCTCTGGTAAATCTTCAAAGATGTATCTAGTCAGGCATTTTGCAGTCAGAGATTAACGGAGGCTAATTTAATGATATTAGACAACATCTGGAGTCTTCCTTTCTTCATGTGAAAACAGTTGGTACTTTGCCATAGAGGCCAACACCCCAGTAATAAATCCCTAGAACCCAAGTTGCTGAGAAAATAGTTTCTAAAATAATGGGATTGTGATTGGCCAAGAGAATATATCACTCCTAATTCGTGAGTATGAGTTTAAAAAACAAAAGCAGAATTAGAATCTGTTGTAAGTTTAAATATTTGAGCATATATATGTGTGT